GCCCTGCTCAGCTGGAAGGGCCCTTGCTTATCAGGCCTGGGACAATCACTGGGGTGTGGGGTCACCCCATGCTTCCCCTTCCCTAGGATGGGCCCTGCTGTGTGACCCTCCAAAAGTGTCTGCTCCTCTCTGAGCCAGAACCACAAAAGTTTTCTTGAAGAGTGTCTCCCGCTGGCCTCACCCCATGTTTCCAGGGTACAAAGTCCACACATTTTAGGGTCATATTCAGGGGACCTGGGCATCCTGCAAGATCCCTTTGCTGTTCCTTTGTCAGATGGCGAGAAAGAGAACATACAAAGGAACAGCCCAGGCAGGCCTCCGCCTCTCCAACTTCCCCTTGGTGCTCGCCACCCCAGGTGCAGAAGGTTGGGAAATTCCTGTGGGGGGTGCCTACACACAAATTAAAAAACAAACAAACAGACACTAACACCTGGCCCACCCCCTTCTCCTTCTGCAGCATAAGTGGCCCCAAAGGCAGCAATGTGGCCACAGGATGAGGAGGGGGCTACTGGGGTCCTCTCAGACTCGCAGGTTATTCTCAGGCCTTGAAGTGCTGGAGGGGCCCAGGGCCGTGGGGTTCAGATGGGGGAGGGCTGCGGAGCAGGCTGGAGAAAGGGTCAGATCCAACCACTCCTAGCCACTGTGGCGGTGCCAGATCGCGGACCTCACTGCTTCCCCAGAGTTCAGGAAGTCTCGGCTGGCGCCCCCAGAACCACAGATGTTGGGAAGGAGGAGGGCCACTCTCACCGCAGGTCTCAGAGCTACTGCGCTCCAGACATCGGGGAGCCTGGCGGTGCCCCCAACCCTGCAGAAGTCCGAGGGTACGGGATCTCCGAGGGCGGGACCGGGGCACCCCTCACTCACCCGGTTCTTGACCTCGGCTGAAAGCCCATACGAGGGTCCCTTGTTGAACTGCGTGGAGCTCATTCCGGCGGCGACGACGGCGGGACGGACGGCCGACCGGGTGAGACGGCTGGGGACGCGCGGGTCCGGGCCCCGCCCCCGTCGGTGATTGGCCCCCGGCGCACATGGCCTTATAAGGCGGTGATGCGCCGGATTCCTTCGGCCAAGAACTTCCTGAATCCTTTCAGCCGCCTCGGACCCCCGCCCCAGCGGAGAGCCTCATCCCCAGGGACCGGGAGGGAAACTGATGTCGGGGAGGGCAGGGGCTCTGGACTACCAACGCATGGCACGCCCGCCCTCTCCCTGCAGGGGGCCCCTAAGTGGCTCTCTCATCTTTTCTGGGCCTCAGTTTCCCCTTCTGCATGGCGATGGAAGACAGGGAATTGTTTAGTGGGACCCTAATTCCCTTGGGGCACGAGTGAGGACTCCTCTCTGCCACTTAGAGGCATCTTGCAGTTTAGCCCCCCTCCAGGAACTCCTAGAGCTGGGTGGTGCGCAAGGGAACTAGAGGAGTCCTCAGAGGGTGCCACTGGACATGGGGCTCTGAGGGATGGCTAGGAGTTTGCTAGTCTAAAAGGGATTCGTGTTCCTGGCAGAGCAAAAGTGATAAGACCTAGGGGGGCCTGTCAGTGGTTGAAAGTGTGTAGAGATCAATCAGATAAATTGGAAGAGCGGGGATGAGAAGGGGCCTTGAATTCTGGGCTGAGGAATGATGGGGGTGGGGTGGGGTATGAAATGGCGGAGAGCTGAAGTCAGGAAATGCCCTGGGTTTAGGCTGCTGAGCACACCAGGGCAGGCACACAGTTGGCACTCAATAGGTAATGCCTACTTGTACAGATAAATCAATAAATTAATAAATAAAATAAATTCACTCACTCAGTAATTTGTTCATTTATTCATTCGCATACCTATTCATTCATCAAAAGCTCTGTGGGCCAGTCCCTTGCTAGGCAATTCTGGCTCCCAGGAGACCTTAGCTCTTGCCCTGCTCACCCCTGGGGAGACAGAGCCAGGCACAAAGCAAGTACAGAACAGAAAGGGGGGCTGGGGTGGAGGAACCCGGAGGGGAAGTGTGGGCTCTGCTGAAAGGTCAAGGAGAGCTACACAGAGAGGAGACATGGGATGAGGTTTCGAAGCATGTGTAGGAGTTTGACACATTTGACAAGTGGCTGATTGGACTATGCGAGGGCTCAGACTCACTGCTGTCTCTTCCCTGGAGAGCAGTCATCCCTGATGCCCCAACTCTCGATGTCTCTTTTCTTTCTCTGCCTGTCATTCTCCCATTCCATCTATCTGTAGACTCCGCCTGAGGACCTTGGATTGATGGAATTATATGATTCTGTGTAGTCCTCCAGCTGCAGTGTCCTGCCTTGGATCCTGGGTTCAAATCATGACTGCCCACCTGGCTGTGTGATCTTTCCCAATGATGCTCCACCTCCCTGTGCCTCCCTCTCCTGTCTGCCGTTAGGGCTGAAATCTTGGATTCATGTGTGTAAACCCTGAGATAAGAGTTGTTCTGTTAAAAATCAAAATCTTAGGGATTTTGGCCTCCTCCAGGGGAGCCTGGCAGGGAGGTCTTGAGCTTCTGCAGCTGCCCTGTGCCCTTGACCCCATGGCATTCACCAATCCATCCAGGGTGACACCTGGGAGACTGCAGGGGCTGGAGGACCTGAGGTTGCAGGGGCCTCGGGTGGGTGCTGGGCAGAGGTCTGAACCGAGGTGTCTTGGTGGCTTGGCATAGGGGAGGCTGTGAGTGCAGTGAGGACTCGAGCCCCTTTCTGGCTGCCACCTCCATGGCAACCCTCTCCCTGCAGTGTGTGGGCTCTGAGTGGGATGCCAGAGGTGGGACTCAGGGCCGTGGGCACCTCCTGGGGGGCTTCAGGACCTCCACTTGCTCTCTGCAAAGAGTCACTGTTTACTCCTGCACACTATGGTGGAACAACAACAACAAAAGTAACAATAATCTCAGCCTGTTAACTCGGATCAGGAACCTCTCTTGCTCACAGTCTGCCATGTCTTCCCATGGTCCCCTCAACAAAAGTGTCCTCCAGGCTTTTCCCTTGCTCTGCCTCAGGGCCTTTGCTTCAGCTATGTTCTCTGCCTGACATTCTACCTGGTTCCTCTACTGTCTTTCTTCCAGCCCCTATTGGAAGGTCACCTGCTCAGCCCCCCCCCCCCCTTTTCAGCCCCATGTAACTCTCAGCCTGAGCCAGCCTGGCTACCACCCAATGCCCGCTTCCCCTGGTGGTCCACACACACACACCCATAGCATCCTCCAAAATCCAGCTCAGCTTCTAACTTTCCTGTTGTCCCCAGAAGGGTGGTGTGGTGTTCAGTCTTCCTCTATTCCTTGGTTTAGGGTTAGAAGCATCTCTCCCAGTTCATCCTTTTTCCTGAGGGTGATTGTCTTAGGAGGCGAGGCAGTTGTCCAGTGGTTGGCCGCACAGTTTGGATGTGTGAAGTTTCATTGGTGTCATGCGTCCCATGTATCTGTAATGTGAGAGTGAATACTGGAATGCTACAGCCAGACACAGCAGCTGTCCAGCACGTGGGGCTATTTCAATGTAACTTACATTGATAAAAAATTAACTAAGTTTAAAACTCTGCTCCTTGGCCACACAGGACACACTGCCCCGCTCAGGAGCCAGTGTGGGTGATGCATTGAGCCTTGCTGGACGTACCAGGGACCCACAGCGCCTGCCTAGGGGGGCAGGGGGTGCTCCTCGGGTCAAGGGGATGAAGTTGGCCTGGCTTCTCCATTGCAAAAGATGATTTTTTTTTCCCCTCCCTTTGCAACCAACAAGTGATGTGGAGGGAAGAGGGATGTAGGATGACCCATAATAATTTCAAGAGTGTACTTTATTGAGCACCTACTGTATGTCAGGCACCACACAGAGCATTTTCTATGAAACAGGAAGAGAATGACTTTGGCCTCCAGGTTGTGGTAGCTCAGGTGTGGGTCTGTCTATCCACTAAGAGCATTGGGCTCCCAGGATTATAAAATCTGGCAGGTAGGTCTGGAAGTTTCTCTTCAGCCTCTGGGTCACACCCTTCCCTGACCAACCAGTTCAATTCAGAACAGCCACCCCCACAATCCCCCATGCTCTGGCCTTTCTCAAAGGCCTCCATCTGCACCCCTCACAGTGGGGCGTTCAACATCAGGAACTGTCTTGTCTGTTCACGCATCTCCATGCTTGTCCTTAAGCTCTGTGAAAGCAGGCACTGGCCTGTGCGACCCCCCACACTGTGTGGTCCCCAACACACTGCACGGGCCCTGGGCATTGTATGCTCATTTCCCTAAACCGTTTGCTGCAGAGCTAGGGTTTCCATTGTCCTTCAGGGTGGTTGCTCAGGGTCCTCGTCCCATGCCCTGTATCCTACTCTCACCTTCCACGCCTTAAATTGCTGAGTGGGGTAGAAGAACCTGGCATATTGTAGGCGAACACTTAATGGAGGAAAAGAGGAAATAGGGAAGTGTGGGTAGGTTCGCGTCAAGGGTAAGAACAAAACGAGGCTCAGCTAAACCAGACTATCCTCTCACGCAAGCGCGTGGCCTGTAACTGCCCGTCACCAGCCGGCGAAGTTGCTGACTCGGGGCGTGGTACCCAGCTAGAGGTCCGCCTAATCGCCAACAGATGCAATGAGGGGAAAGGCGGGACACGACAATACCACATTACGTCAAGGAGGTCCCTCGACTCGGGCCAAGAGGCCCTTTAGAGAACCCAGAGGGCCCATGGCGTCATATGGTATCGCGCGGGACCCACAACGGTTTACAAAGCGAGCACGAGCTCCATCATTCGTAACACAACATTTAAAGTCAAACGACAAAATTACTTTACAGTCAGAGTGATGTAGTTTAAACTTACAATTGGCCTGACTTTCTACACTGCCACCTCAAATGACACCTTCTACCTAAGGTCGCACTTACGTAAGGTGTCTTTGATCACGTAACACCGTATATATTTACTAGTTTTACCGTCAAAGAACGTCCTGGCAGCCGCAGGGCATTGTGGGGACAATATGCAAAAGAAGAGCAAACACCGCCCCCGCCCCACAGCGCGGCCAGGCAAGAGGGCGGGGCCGCCGTGGGCTGACCGTCGGCATCCCTACGTTCCCCGCGAGCTCAGGAGGGCCGCTCCTGCCGGCGCTGCGCCTCGCTGGCGTCAGCAGGGCCGCGGAGGCGGAAGATGGCGACGGTGGCGGCCAGGGCGCCCTGAGGAGCGCGGCGGCGTAGAGGGAGGCCCATGGCGGCCGGGAGACGCCCTCGGGGACCCGCGGGCCGTTAGGGCGCGACGCTGGGCGGCATGTCGGAGCACGCGGCACCCGGGGCCCCGGGGCCCGGGCCCAACGGCGGCGGCGGCGGCGGTCCTGCCCCCGCGCGCGGGCCCCGCACCCCCAACCTCAACCCCAACCCGCTCATCAACGTGCGCGACCGGCTCTTCCATGCGCTCTTCTTCAAGATGGCAGTCACCTACTCGCGGCTCTTCCCGCCCGCCTTCCGCCGTCTCTTCGAGTTCTTCGTGTTGCTCAAGGTGACCGCGGCCCCGACCCCCGACTCTTGGCCCCAGCGACCGAATCCACCCCAGACCTGCGACCTTTGACTCCAGTCCCGCCCGGGACAACCAGTCCCTCCCATATTGGGGTCTTTACCCAATACTTTTCTTGGGTACCCACCCCTTTTTTTAGCCGGCCGTTCTAGCGCCTGATCCCCTAACACATTACCCTCGGAAGTCCTTAGTCTCACCCCGTGGGTGGCCCCTGATCCCGACTCCAGGAACTCCCAGCACTCTCCAGGCCGCACCCATGCTTGGCCTCATAGTTCCTTTCATGACCCACTTTCTGGGAGCCTGGGGCCTGGAGCCTGCCCCTGACCTGCCTGGGACCTCCTCCCAGCCCTGTCTTCCCTGTCATGCCACGTGAGATCCTTAGCTTGGGGAGGACTCCCCCATCCTGCCATCTTTTGCCTGTCCTGGCCCAGGTCCCCAGTCCTAGGCTTCCTAAAACTTACAGGCTCACCCTTCCCCCTCAGGACATACCCCGGAACCACCTACCTGCACTGGAAGTGCACTTTTACTACTTCCTTCTGCTTCCCCTTTTCTTGGGGCTGTTCCCCTGTTTGGGACCTTCCACCAGCCCCCTAACCCCATCCCTTCCTCCTCTGAGCTTCACAGGGAATATGACCTAGCTGAGGTCATCTCTCCAGAGTTAGTGACAAAGTCACAGCCATTGCTACTACTCATGTCTTAACAAGAGGCTGCACAGGAACCTCTTTCCATCCTCCCTCAGGTGGCATAGAGGTTTCAATCATGAGAGCAAAGTCTGAAAGACCAACATTGATCCGGGTCCCTCCAAGGAGAGGGTCAGCTCACTCAGGTGTGGGCCCAGAGCTCAGTGGGCCCCAGGGTCCTGGGTTCCTGAGCAGAGAGATGATCCCAGTTGTTGCCTGACATGGCGGAGGGAAGGGAGGAACAGGCATTTAGTTTCCTCTCAGAGTGCTGACAGAGAGGGGCTGGGCTTTTTGACATTATGGAGCAAGCTTCAGGTTCACTTCAGGTTCACTTTGAGGCTGATGCTGGAGGTAGAGGTGCTTGGGTTGCCAGCCAGCCCCAGGGCCTGGAGATTGGGGCTGGGGGCTGAGCATAAAGGCTTTAGGGTTAGCTATCTGATTGCTTCCTACTGCAGTTGTGGGTCCCAGTGCCACTCCCTGCACTTCACAACTCCCATCACCAGCTCTGTGGTCCTCAGACACCATGTTGAGAAGAGGGGCTGGGGTATAGGCCTGTGGGATGCTCCTCTGGCATTACTCACTGCCTCACCTGGCCCCCTCCTCCTCAGCTGTGTTCTTGTCTTCAGGATCTGTCTGCTGAGACCTGAACGCTTGGGTGCTGCAATGTCTGTTTGCGGAGATTTTAGTGATGCCCTAGTCCCCGTCCGTCCCCTTGCAGCATTTTTGGCTGCAAAGGAGAGAAATAGTTCATACTGGCCCAGGAGAGATCTTGGAGCTCATGCACCTGGGGAGTCTGGGGTGGGCTGCTGCCACTTCAGGTATGACTGGATCCGGGTGTGCAGCAGTGTGTTCAGAGGCAGGGCCTCTCCCCATCCCTCTCAGGTCACCGCCACCACCGTTGCCGGGCTGGTGGTTCCATAGGGATGGGGTTCTGGCAGCCATACTGGTGACTGTGTGGCCATGGGAAACTCACCAATCCCCTGAGCATCAGTGTCCCTGTCAGAGGGCAGGAAGGGGCTTTGTGCTCTGGTCTCTCCGTGATCTAGGCTTTTTCAAGTTGTGGTTCTGGATCACACAATCAGTTAGTCTTGGAGAGTAGGAATTTGGTGCGGGAGCATGCGGGTGTGGGGGTGGTCGTGGGCTGTGCTGGCCCAGCAGAGAGATCTCTCCAGTCTCTGGCTGAACAGTCTCGGGGGTCGCTAGTTCCCCAGCACCCATATTTTTCTAGGAATATGAGCACTACATGGGACAGTTGGGCTCTTTTCTCAAGGGTGGGGCAGTAGGTGGGATGCATGGGGGTGATGCACGGGACATGTCCTCTAGGCTGGGAGGGTGACCTCAGCCAACTGGGGCCCCATGTGAAGCAAGACTGTCAGGAAGTGAGGTGGGCTCTTGGGGAGAAGGGTGCACCTAAATAGATCTCAGTGGAGGTTCCTTTTGATGCACTGTTCCCTGTGAGCCAGGCAGAAGGTGCTGTTGGTGAGGTAGGGTAAGGCCCCCCTACCTCAGCCCTTCTGATATTGGGCTGCTTGTTCTCTGTGGGGGGCCATGCTGGCCACTTGTGTGCTGAGGGTGGTGTGCAGCATCTTCTGGCACTGTCCCTTGATTCCAGGAGCACGCCCAGTGTATAACCAGAGATGCCCCCAAACCTGACCCCATGTCCCCTGGGAGCAGGAACACTCAGATGAAACCCTGCTGTCCCCATTTTACTGATGGGGAAACTGCTTCAGGCAGAACGAGCTGGCTACAAGGGTTGGCTGCATCTGCAGTTCTAGCCGGCCCTGCCTTGGTGGGAGGGGTGCAGTGTGCCTGGCGGGTAAGGGAGGCTGTTTTTAGCTGGTGAGGTCAGGGGCATTCTGAGGACAAAGCTGAATGTGAGGCAGCTGGGCAGGCCTCTTGGGCACAGTGGGGACCCAGCAGGTGGCCCAAGGGTGGTGGCACCTGGGTTGGGCTTCACAGGAGGGGAGAGGTTAGTTGGTCTCTCCCAGGGCAGGGGTCCCACATATGCACAAGAGTGCCTCATCCTGGCCCACACAGAGCAGGGTGGTCAGGACCTTGGATCAGTGACACCCCCAAAATCTGTGCTGCCAGGAGGGGCCAGAGTGAGTTTAGGGCTTAGGGAACTTCAGAGCCCTGGGGTTCCCTTTCTTTCCCCTCAAAGCTGAGGTCTCACTATCAGGGTGGGTGCCCTTGCCCCCAGGCCCTGTTCGTGCTCTTCGTCCTGGCCTATATCCACATCGTCTTCTCCCGATCACCTATCAACTGCCTGGAGCATGTGCGGGACAAGTGGCCACGAGAGGGTGTCCTACGCGTGGAGGTACAGCAGAACTCGAGTCGTGCGCCCGTCTTCCTGCAGTTCTGTGACGGTGGTCACAGCAGCTTCCCCGGCCTGGCAGCGGCACCTGGTGGCCTGGAGCTGGAGGAGGAGGAGGAAGAGGAGCTGACCATGGAGATGTTTGGGAATCGCTCCATCCAGGTGATCTGGCCAAGTGCATGTGCAGGACAACATCGCTGCTGGGGAAGCTCTGAACCTTGCAGGGCCTGGCTATTGCGTGGCTTTGGAGCAGGATGGAGGGCTGTGTGAGGCAGACTGTCACCTGGAAGGGATTGGTCTTGTTCTGGGAGTACCGAGGAGGTCCCCGGAGCGTCTGGGCTGAGAGCTCTAGCATTCCTGGCCGTCCCAGATGGCTCAGCTGCTCCCTGGGGGTGGGTGTGTGGGGCCTACAGTCTGCAGGGAGGGATGTGCTTGTGTATTCAGAGGCTAGGGTCCTGTGGGTAAGAGCCAGTGCAGGTGGGGTGTCGTACAGGCCTCACCCAGGTGGTCTCATCCCCAACTTTGGGGCACAGGCCGCTCACCTGGAGAGAGTCAGAGCTTGATGTTGGACGAGGGGTCTTTGGTGAGATGCTGGGCAGAAGCCGTCCAGTGCCAGAGGTGGAGGACATTCTGGCAGAGGCCGGGGGTCACAGCGGTCAGGGGCAGAGAACATCTCCTTTCAGGTGGCAGGAGAAGGGCCTCTGGGCCAGCCCCCCGGTGCCAAGGGCCCACTGACACCCTGCCTCCTGGTGACCCACAGTTTGAGCTGGACATTGAGCCCAAGGTGTTCAAGCCGCCTGGTGGCCCCGAGGCCCTGAATGACAGCCGGGAGTTCCCCTTCCCTGAGACCCCCTCAAAAGGTGGGTATTGCCAAGGTGTCAGGTGGAGTCATCTGGGCAGGGGAGTGGGGTCACACTCCCAGATGGGGAGAATAGCCATTCCCAGCCTCCATGTCCCCATCTGTCAGCAGTATGGGAGGCCAGCGGAGGTGGTTGCTCTCCCTCTCTGGGCCCCTCATCTGAAGGTGGGAGGCGGGATGGCCAGGGTTCTGCAGGCCATGGCTGACAGGCCATGCCTACCCACAGTGTGGCCACAGGATGAGTACATCGTGGAGTACTCCCTGGAATATGGCTTCTTGCGCCTGTCGCAGGCCACACGACAGCGGCTCAGCATCCCAGTCATGGTGGTCACCCTGGGTAAGTCACCCTGAGAGAGGGTCAGGGTGGGGTGTGGCTCAGAAACACCTAAGACTGAGGTCAGGGGGCCATCCCTGCTGCAGCTACAGAAAACTGGCTCCCAACCCTGTCTCACTGAACCGTCCCCCAGGTCCTGAGCAGTCAGAGCATTGCCTGGGCTGGGTGGGCAGGGGCTGGTGGGGACCTTACTGAGTGCACCCCCATTGGTGTGCCACCTGCAGACCCCACACGGGACCAGTGCTTTGGGGACCGCTTCAGCCGCCTGCTGCTGGCCGAGTTCCTGGGCTACGATGATATTCTCATGTCCAGCGTGAAGGGCCTGGCCGAGAACGAGGAGAACAAGGGTGCAAATGGGACCAGAGGAGGGTGGGGGCGGGCAGGGGCTGGAGGGCAGGCGGGCAGGTGGTGGTGCTCACGGCCTCCCTGAACAGGCTTTCTGCGGAACGTGGTGTCAGGGGAGCACTACCGATTTGTGAGCATGTGGATGGCCCGAGCGTCCTATCTGGCTGCATTCGTCATCATGGTCATCTTTGTGAGTGTTCTGAGGCTGGGCTGAGGTGGGGGGTGTGGGGCAGGTGGCCCTTCCCCAGCCTCACGTGCCTTCACTTGCAGACCCTAAGCGTGTCCATGCTGCTCCGCTACTCCCATCACCAGATCTTTGTCTTCATTGGTGAGTCTCCCCTCCGGGTAGCGGGAGGAAAGGTGGGGTCAGCCCCAGGCTCCCATGGCCCCCCGCCCACCCCCACCCCCTTTCTCGGAACACCTCACCTGGTCTGCCCGCCCACCACCCTCTGCCCGCAGTGGACCTGCTGCAGATGCTGGAGATGAACATGGCCATCGCCTTCCCTGCAGCGCCGCTGCTGACCGTCATTCTGGCCCTTGTGGGTGAGGACCCCTCTGCCTACCCTTCTGCCTCCCCACCCAGACACCCACATCCACCTCCCCTCTGAACCCGGCCTTTCTGCCATGCCCACCGCAATTGACGGCCTCCCACAGGGATGGAGGCCATCATGTCGGAGTTCTTCAATGACACCACCACCGCCTTCTACATCATCCTCATTGTGTGGCTAGCTGACCAGTATGATGCCATTTGCTGCCACACCAACACCAGCAAGAGGCACTGGCTGCGGTGAGTGCCACAGGGGTCCAGGTGGGGTTGGGGTAGGGTCTGGACAGGCGGTGCCTCACTGTGCCCCCTGCAGGTTCTTCTACCTGTACCACTTTGCCTTCTACGCCTACCACTACCGCTTCAATGGGCAGTACAGCAGCCTGGCCCTCGTCACCTCTTGGCTCTTCATCCAGGTGAGGGGCCCGCCTATTCCCCAGGGTCTGGCCTGTGGGAGCTTTGGTCCTGGGCTGGGCCTGACCCATTCACACTATGCCTCTAGCATTCCATGATCTACTTCTTCCACCACTATGAGCTGCCCGCCATCCTGCAGCAGATCCGCATCCAGGAGATGCTGCTACAGACACCGCCTCTGGGCCCTGGCACCCCCACAGCACTGCCGGACGACCTCAACAACAATGGGGGCACCCCAGCAACTGCCCCTGACCCTACCAGCCAGCCCCCCACCCTGGACCCTGGCTCACTGGGGGCTGGTGGGGTCCCCAGGCCCGTGGTTGAAGCGCCCAGCTCTCTGGTGGTTGCGGCGGCCTCGGTGGCTGCGGCGGCCAGTAGTGACCTGGGCTGGATGGCAGAGACAGCTGCCATCATCACAGACGCCTCTTTCCTCTCTGGCCTGAGCGCCTCCCTCCTAGAGCGGAGGGCAGCCAGCCCCATGAGCCCCAGTGGGGCGTTCCCTCAGGGCGTCCAAGCCCCCCAGGACAGTGTCCCCCCAGGTGACTCCCCAGCACCTGACACAGCCCCCCTGTCTGCCGGGGTGAGTGGTCCCAACTCCGAGTCCCCGGCCCCAGCAGATGAATCCTTGGAGATTGGCTCCTAAGTCCTGGGGAGCTGAGTGCCTCTGTCCCCAGCTTCCCAGGCCAGCTGGGTGTGACCTGGCTAGGGGTTCCTTGGGGGTCAGGGAGGCTATCCCCAATGTGTCTGGGGCTGCGCGGTCAACTTTGTGTCAGGGTCTCTCTGGTTTGCCCAGGGGTGGGCTCCTCTCCCCCAGGCATGGGTCCTGCCTACAGCTTGTCCCTGTCACATTTGTGTGGGTCCCCTCAGCCAGAAAACTCTAGGCAGGCTGATGAACTGGGGCAGGAAAGTGGGGGGGTCTCCATGGAAGGCTCTGGAAGGGGTTGATGAGAGGTTTGGAGCAAGCTGTACTTACGGGCAGAGCCTAGCAGGTCTCTGAGCCAGGTGAACACTGGTGGGGGCAGCCCTTGCTTCCTGGCCGCTTGGCTGGTGCTCCGTTGTGCGCAGTGCCTTTTCCATGGCCCCTGCCCCCATGTGTGCGTGCCAGGGATGGGGTATCGGCACAGGGACATGGTGTGCAGGTGCCAGCTGTCAAAGACAGCAACCAGGCGCTAGGGTCCAGCCTTGCTCCTGCACAGAGGGCCAGTAGCCCCACGCCCAACCAAGTCACTCGGTGAGGACTGCAGAGCACTCATTCCATTCTATTTAATTGCAGTGTACAAAATTGTGTTTGTATATAGAATAAACTGTCTGTTGACAGCAACCGGCTAGTGTCTGCATGAGCCAGGTGCTGAGATTAGCTTTTGCAGGGTCCACCCTCATGCAAAGCCAAGTGGGCTGGGTGTGGTGGGGTGTGGCCATCTTCTGCACAAGGGGTAGGTGGAGGCCTCAGCAGGAGAGGGGCCCCCAGCATTTCCTGCCTGACCTGGGGCAGGTGCAGTAGCCCCTCTCAGGTGCCGCTGGGGAGCTGGGCCAGGAGCTCCCTGCGCCGCATCAGTGCCTGGTGGAGCCTTGCATGTGCGCCCGCGATGTGCCGCTCCAGTTCCTCCAGCTCTCCTGGTCGTGGCGCCCCTGTGGGCAACGTGGTGGGTGGCTGGCCATTGGAGCAGAGCCAGACAGAACCCTTGGGTAGCCCAGCCCCCTCCACATTCGTGTCCACTGCTGATGCAGCAGGCTCCAGCAGGAAGCGCACACGACGCTCCCTCAGCGTGGTCTGGTGTATCCATGTCCAGTTGCCCCGACTTGCTGGGGCAGTTGGTGTGTCTTGTTGCTGCTTCTCCAGACCCCTGGGGACAGAATGGGTGGTGCTAGACTAGTGTTCCCTGAGACATGGATATGCCTGCTTTCCTTTGGGGTCAGGGTCCCTAAGTGGGCTGTGGGCGGTGGGAAACAGGGACTGACAAGTTCAGCTCGAGTGGGAGTGGGGCCTGCAGGTGTAAAGTGGCAGGCCTGAAGGCAGAGGTGGGAGCAACCCCAGAGCCCCTTACCTCGGCTCAGGCTCCTTCTGCTTGTCCAGTGGCTCTGTGTTGAGGGCGCGGTGGATTCTCTGTGAGCCAGACAGAGACTGGGTCGGGTTGGGTCGGTCTGGGAGGCTGGCCATGCCCGCCCACCCGCGCCATCTCCTCACCTGGCTTGTGTGCAGCCAGTACTGCAGCCTGTTTCCCCTCCGGATGCATGGTAGAGCCAGGCGGTAGAAGATGTGCTCCCCCAGGGAGCTGAGCAGGGCACTACCCAGGCCCAGGCAGAGCAGCACAAAGAGACCCGAGAAGTGGTAGATGCCCATCTGCAGGGTCTGCAAAGGGTGGGACACAGGCACAAGCCCTCGTGGTCATGGCAGACCCTTGGGGAGCCCTGCCCTGGGGGGAGCAGGTTGGGCCAGAGGGCTGGGGCAGTGCAGTTAGGTTGAGAAGCTAGGGCTCCATGTTCTAGAGCAAGGTTTGGAGCAGGAGAGGACACGAGCTGGGGTTTGTGGGGTGAATGGGAGCGCACAAAAGCAGACAAGTCCATGTCTTGCATGTAAGCTGGGGGTCGGCCACCTCAATTGAGGCCCACACAGGGTCAGGGCCCCAACACCTACCCCCACCCTGTGTCCCAGGCCCTGTCCCACCTCTGTGACAGCGAACACCCGTTTCCCACAAGGCACCATCTTGTACCACTTGTCATGCAGCAAGTCGATGAAGCCAGAAGACTTGTAGCGGCTGATGAACTCAGACAGGTTGGAGGTGAGTGGCGAGTTCTGAGGGAGTCCGATGCCGTAACCTGGAGAAAGCCAGGAATTAGGTTGGGACCAGGCCGGAGACAGTCCGGGGGCCCACAGTGCAGTGGTTCCCTGCTGCCCCAGGATCAGTGGTCTCAGCCCCTTACCCTCAATGGCAAAGGGCTTTCCCACAGTCAGCAGTTTGCAGTCGGCATCAATGGAGACCTCATAGTCCAGGAGTGCCTTGTCCATGATGAAAGCATTGAGCTTGGGGGGGTCGCTCCTGTGGGGATGTAGATGGGTGAGTTCCTGCCCAGGTGGCCCCCTCTCTGCCCTGCCCCTTACCCTGCCCCACGCTTGGACCTCACGTGAGCATGGCGACACCATGAGGTGTGGTGGGTACACTGTGTCTCCGCATGTGCCCGTGCATCTCGGGAAAGCTCTTCTTGATGTAGGCTTCCGCGCTGCTCTCCCACACAGTGCCGAAGTGGAAGCCCTGGGACGGGTGGTGCAGCTGCAGGCAGGCGACTGGTCAGTACCAGGCTGCCCCTGTGCCCTCACCCTGCTCCCCACCCACTGTTCTGGGTGCCAGCTCAGGCCCAGTGTTCTCAACCAGTGTCTTCCCTCCTGGATGACAGGGCCAGGTCATTTTCGGGGTGTGTGAGGGGGGATCCCAGGCACTGCAGGTACAGAACAGCATCCCTGACCCCACCTTGCAATGCCAAGAGCACCCTCAGTGTGATAATCACACATGCCCCCATGCATGGCCTAGTGTCCCCTGTGGGCAGAATTGCCCAATTGAAACTCACTGTTCTAAGTACCCAAATATCCATCTCCGTACAGACTTGGCCTCTGCCTACCCCCCTGCATCTTCCACGGCTCCCTGTCCTCCTCCTCCGATCCCATGTTCTGTCCTGCAAATCCTGTGGGGTCGGCTCTGCCTTCAGAACATCCACAGCCAGCCCACTGCTTGCCCACTGCTTACCCGCTCTGCAGCCCCCATCCAGGCCCACCACGCCCTCCACCATTCTTGATCTCAGCGCCACCATGGTCTGTGCAAACTCCTACTGAATGAGTGTGTGGCTGCTCCCCAGGGGACTGTAGCACCACCAAAAGCCACACCAGCTAGACTGAGCCTCCTAGCACTTTGTCATGGTGGACAGGGGAAACACTATCTCTGCTGTTCTCCGTGGCTGTTGAGCACTTGCATTTGAGTAACTTAATTTTTAAAGTGGTCACACCTGAATGGCAAGTGCATCACACAGCACAGTGTCCAGGTCTTGTTACCAGTTTACAAAGGACACAGGGACTGGGGAGCAGCGGAACAAGCTAAGCACCCCTCAGGGGACACAATCAGCATGATTCAAACAGTGAGAGACACTATGGGGTAAAAATAAACCCCAACAACTTCAACAAACACTGAGGGACAAAAGAAATGAGAAAAACAAAAGCTGAGAGCCAGCAGGTTTCTACCAACTGCAATGTGTGGGCGTTCAGGCTCCAGAGTCAAACTGCGGGGCCGGGGGGGGGGGGGTGCGGGGGGAGAACGGGGGAGACAACTGGGCAAGGGGGCCTTATGTATTATCAGCGAAAGGACACGAGGTCCGAGATTTGCTTCATCAGAACCCAGTGGCTGAGGTTGGTGATGGATGAAAGTGGCTGGCAGTTGATTTCGGAGCCAGGCAACGGGTTCGTGCATGTTCTTTGCTTCCCACTCAGGGATATTCAAAATGTTTATTAAAAAACGAAAACTGTAGAATGGGGCACACCCTTGCTCTGCCAAAAGCCCTCCAGGGCTCCCAGGAGAAGTTTCATCTCAGAGGCTCCTACCTATGCCCTCCAGCCCTGCGTGACCTGTCCCCTTTATTACCTCCTTGACCATCTGCTCCAGCCACAAGGGCCTCCTCATTGTTACTGCAACACCCCAACACCACCAGGCAAATTCCTGCCTCCAGGTCTTTGCACAGGAGCTGGGCCCTCTCCTCTCTGATGTCAGCATAAAAGTCCCTCACATGTCAACCCTTCCCAGAGGAATTCCTGACCCCCATTTGAGAAAACGTCCCTGCCATTATCCTTGTATCCCAACTCCGCCTTATTTTTGTCCCTGGCACTGTATCGCCATTTCACACACCATCTCTTTTGTTGATCTATCTTGATTCCTGCAATGAATCCCCCAGGGATGGGGATCTGTGCCTATTTTGTCCTAGCTAGGTCCCCAGTGCCTGGCACACCATAAGTCTCAATAAATGTTTGCACGAGTGGATGTTCACATGTGGCTGGGTCTTGGGACGAACAGCAAGCAACCTCCCAGCTCCAGCCCCCCCGCCCCCCCAGCTACCCACCTTGGGGTCATGAATCCCCGACAGCTCCTCAAAAGTCTTTTCCCCGACCATGACTGCAGCCAGGTTGGCCGTGTAGCTGGACAGCACCAGCAGGCAGAAGATGGCCCACAGGTTCATGAGCAGGCGCCCCGTGGGGCACTTGGGCGTCTTGCTGGACACTGTGCGCCCGAACAAGATGGCATAGCAGAGATTGAGGGCCGAAGAATAGGAGAAAACAGTGGTGCGGTTTCGGCCACGGGGCGTGAGACCATAGGGACTACGCCACTCATACAGCGTGAGGAAGAGCGCCGTGAGGTGCAGGGCAGCGAAGATGCCCAGCCACATGGACCAGTGCAGCGGCCACATGAAGGCACCAAGGGGTGAGGCCGTGTCCTGTGCTCTTACCATGATGCCCAGGCTGGTGGAGAAGAAGGGGCTGCTGAAGTCCACCACCTTCGAACGGGCTGAGTTGATGCTGAAGCTGGTGACTGCCATGTGGGCCCTGCCAGCCAGCAGGTCACCCACCAGGCCGGTCCAGCGGCCATCCCGCAGGGCGCCGTACTTGCCGTCGCCCACAATGTACAGCTCAAAGTCAAAGGGTGTGTCCTCTGCCAGGCGCTCCAGCAGGTCAATGCAGTAGCCGTAGCAACATTTGCGGAGAGCATGGGGCACTGAGCCATTGGCCAGGGAAGAAAATAGCGCATCCAGGGTGGCTGAGTCATTGGTACCAGGGGCCAGGCACAGCTGCCCTGCCGGGCACTGCCCGTCCTCATCCGGCTCTCGGGCAAACACAAATGGGTGCTCCACCAGCGTCACCACACGCAGCTTCGGCCGGGCTCGGGCACCCAGTGGGGGTGGGGGCTTCAAAGCAGCACCCCCTGGTTCCAACTTCAACCGTCCATCCCGCCAGCTGCCCAGCGTGGCCCAGGCTGGGGTGCCCAGTGGGTCCTGGCGCAGGCTCCACACCCGGAAGTGCCGGGACATGTGCACCTGGGAGGAGCTGCTCACCCACACTGGCCCCGTGCGGCCCTGGAAGGACGTGTTGCCCAGGAACCTGGCAGAAGGTGGGGAGCAGGCAGGTATCAGGCAGCAGGAGCACCCCCAGCAAAGCTCAGACCCTGCCCCCACCCCTCAGCGCACACTGGGGGCCACAGTGGATGCTGTTGTGTCCCCCCACACCAGATCTCTTTACCAGCAGGGGCCCAAAGTCAATGGCTGACCAGCCAGTTTGGACTCCCAGGAAGGGCCCCCTGGTTGTGAGGCACTGTCCACCCTCCAGAGCTGCCCAGCAGGCCTGCTCCATTCCTGCTGCTCCCAAAGTGCCAAGTGAGCCCCTCACCAGAATCCCTGTCTCAGGTTCTCCTTCCACCCAGACGGGGAAAAAGCTGCCCTCTCGTGAGGCCACAGTGCCTGGTATACAACAAGTGCACAATAATGTTGCCCCAGGCAGAGGTGCCTCCATGTGGAAACTGCACACCCTTTCCACAGCAGGGTCCCCACTCACCGTGCCAAGAGATGGCCTGAGGACTTGGGCTTGGTTGGCTGCAGGTCATTGCAGTTGATGGTGGCAGGGAGAAGGGTGAGCTCTGGCTGCACATGGGCTGCGCTGCCCAGTGCCCTTGCCACCAGCTCCACTGCATCGTGGATAGCAGCCTCCAACGGGGGCCGAGCCACCTCGCCCAGTGCCAGCAGCCCAGGTGGCAGGCCCTTTGTGGGCAGTGCCTCAGCGGGCAGTGGTGTGCCCAGAAGCCAGCGGGGTCCAGGGGGCCCAGCCTCCAGCACCTGACGGGCACGGGCCATGTCACAGCCAAGGAGCACAGCCACAGGTACCTGGGCTGAGCCCCCCGCCAGCGCCCCCAGCAAGGCAAGGCGGGTCTGCAACCCTGCAACACGGGTGTCCAGCCGGCTCAGGTCCAGTACAAGCTTTGGGGCCCTGCCAGCCTGTCTTGTCCAGAGGGCCACCAGGCCACCAGGGTCCCGCATGCGACAGAGCACCAGGCCAACGTCCTCCCAGGCGTGGGCCTGCAGCACAGACACCAGCACTTCAAGCAGCGTTTCCAGGGGACTGGCCCAGTCCAGCTGTAGGTGGAACGGGTTCTGGGAAGGGGGTGATCACAGTTAGGGCTGGTGACCACCACACCCTCCCCACCAGTAGATGTTCAGTAAGTAGATGATAACTGGACCTTGTACCTGCCTCCTCCCAGCCTACCCCTTCTCTGAACCTCTCTGCGGTTCCCCACAGCCATCGGCACAAAGCCCAGCCTCCCTGGTAGCAGACCACTTTGAGGATTTTTGCCTGTACCATTCCCGATCTGGAATACCTTTCTCCCTCCATTCCAGTCAACTCCTACAGTCTTCAAAACTCAGTGGCATTGCCCCCTCCTCTATTTAGATATCTGGAACCCTGGCTCTCCCAGCCTTGAACCCCTCCTTCACCGCAGTCTGACCTCACCTACACCTCTGCCTAGGAACCCCTCAAAGGCCCAAGACCAGGGATCCATGATAACAGGCTGGCTGATGCCCTCATGCTCTGAGACATGTCAGATTGCTTCTTTTTAGGACCCCATCACTGCCCCTGAGCCAGGCAACCCAGGGGCTGAGGGGTCCCTCTGTGCCCAGTGACTCCCAGAAAGTTCTCCTGGATTTGCTCCCTCCCTGTAAAGGAAGGGAGACTTTGCCAGATACTTAAGGTGGGCTGGATATTGCCTGCATGAGGACCGGGAGCCCAGTGCTGGTCTCTGCTACTCAGCCCCCTCAAAAGCCCGACAGTGCCAGCTGTAGGGTGCAGTTCTTGGAGAAGGCAGCAGAGGGCGCCACAGGCCTGGATTTGGGTCCTGAATCTCCCAAGTAGCGGAGGCAGGGGGACAGAAAAGGGGCCTCAACACAGTGACAGCGCGGTGATGACACCTCAGGCCTCTCCCAGGGTCAGGGTCTCTCCTCCCCGGGAGAAGGAAGGTCTGTGTGTGTGTGTGGAGGGGGGGGGGCGGCTTCAAGGTAGATTTGGAGGGAGGAAGCTCCCACCAGCCCCATGTTCTGTGTTGGGCCCCTGCCTGCTGGCCCTAGGAGGTTGGGGGACGGGTTCTTTCCCTGGGGCACAACAGGGTCCTCAGAGCCCTGCCTGTCACCCTTCTCTCCTCCTTATCTCATTGTCTGTTTTCGTCTCAAATCCGGACCTGGAGTGGGGTGGGGGTGGGGTGAATCTAGAAGAGAAAAAAATACTCCAAAAACGTGGAGAGGGTGAAAAAGAGGATGGATGGAGGGAGGGCTTTGGCGTGACAGAGTGACCTGGGGGTCCAAGAAGGGCGCTCCCCACTCAGAGAGCAAACAGGGAGCTCCGCTTTCCTTTCCCAGACCCGCGGTCCTGCGGGGTGGGAACCGGGAAGCACTCTCGTATTGAGAGGGAGCCGTTCGCAAGGAGTTGGATGGGTCCTGGGGCGGAAAGCGGGAAGGACCGCTGTGGCGGGACTCCACAGCCAAGGCCCAGGGAAGGCGTCTGCACCGGAGTACCGCGCCCCAAACGGGGCACCCTGAGGGTTCCGCCATTCGGGGTCCCCAGGCATCCCGCGGGGGTTCCGGATCCGCGGGGTCTGGGCTCTAGGTCCCTGAGCCCCTGGGCTCCTGCCTCCGGTTCCCGTGCTCTGGGAGCATCTGGAGTCCTGGGACCTAGGTCCTGTGAACCCCGGGGCCTCTATCATCTGGACTCCTGGGCATCCCCGGGGCTCCCTCATCCGAGGTCTAGAAGTCCGTTCCCGTGCGCCCCAGGGACTCCAGGTTCCCGCATCCCAGGGTCGTCCCAGGGCCTCCCTGATCCGCACCCCTGATCCCCGCACGTCCTGACTTCCACCTTCGCGCGTACCGGGGCGCCGAGGGGCGCGCGCGCCTCCAGCCGCAGCAGGCTGAGCACCGGGGTCTTGGTGGCAGCTGCCAGGAAGTGCAGCTGCAGCAGCTCCGGCCGCGCCTCGGGGAAGGCGAGCACGGCAACCACGCCCGGCGCCGCCAGTGTCTGACACAAGCCACGGGCCAGCGAGGCGGGGTCGCGGGCGGGGGTCGTGGTGGCCACCAGCTCCAAGCTCAGGTTGTGCGGTAGCTGCGATGCCAGGGCAGCCCCGGCTAGGGCGGCGCGGGCGCGGGCACGGGCTGCGGGCGCGCGGGGTAGGAGGGCGCCTAAGCGTACGGAGCCCCCTAGGCGCGCCAGGACGCCACAGGGCTGTGGGTGGCCACCGGCGGGCAGGGGCCCAAGTGCCAGCACCAGGCCGAGCCACAGCGCCCGCACAAACTCCATCCCAAAGTTATCGGCAGGTGCCGTGGCACAAAACCGCGGGTGCCACGCGCAGGAGGCGGGATCCCGCCCGCCCAAGCCACACCCTCCCCGCCCTCCTGGGTAGGCGCATCCCTCCCTGGCTGGCTCCACCGTCCTTGAGTCCGCCCTCGCCACGTCCAGCCCCCAGCCCCCAATGCCAGCGACCCACTAGAGAAGAGTGCGACCCACCGCTCAGGACGGGAAACAAAGGCCCCAGCGGTCACACTGCACGGGGACTGAACATAACCACTGCTCTCCCTCTTTCTGTGCCAGGGAGGAAACTGAGGCTTGCTACCAGGGAGGGGTTTGGGTCAAAAAAAGCCCCTACACTCACTCCTGTTGCACTCCAGGATCCCCTCTCCAGCCTGGAAATGTGGTCATTGTTCAGTCAGGGAAACTGAGGCCCAGGAGGAGTCAGGATGTGCCTCGGTGTTCACACAGCAGCACCTCCCACCCCCATGAGTGTGCTCTAATGTCGTGTGCACTCTGGGGAAACTGAGACAGATCTCCTGTCCTCTACCTGTGGGCAGGCAACTGAAACCAGAGAATTCCTCTTCACCCTTCAAGACCCAGTGCCGAATGCCACTGCTCTAAAAAAATGTCCCCTGCTTGTCACCCAGAAAGGAGCAGAACACCCCCGCCCCCCAGCTTTTGAGCCCGTTCTGTCCACTGTGACTCCATCACACATTGCCATCTCATTGCTTGTGACTGCTGCGACACCGACACTTGGTGACATCACCATCCACTGCTCCAGAACTTTCTATAGCTCCCTTCCATCTTCCAATCCCCAAAGCTTCCTGTGTTCTCTGGGCCTCCCCACCTTAAATGACCCTGGGTCCTTGTGGCCCTGGCACACGGCCGCCGGCGCTCAGTAAATGCTGGCTGGATCAGGGCCAGCAGCACCCAGCATGCTCTCTCCTGTGCTCACCAGGGCAGGTGTGGGTAACAGGCTGAGATAATGCGGTTGTCTCCCAGACCCCCCCACCCCCGCCCCACCACGTGCAGGGTAGTCTCCTGGCATGGAACATTCCAGATCTAATGAATAAACCTCCACTTGGCTTATTTTTTTCACACAAAAACAAATCCTTTTGGAGCCAGCGTTAGAAGGGCAGTAAGAACCGAGATTTGAGACGACTGTAATGAGGGCTGAGTTCTGGGTGACAAGGCAGCTCCCTCACCCTTTCACTGGCCAGGTCCCTCAGGACAAGGAGAATCCCCAGGGGGCCTGGATTCTGGCCCACTCCCTGTCAGAGACTGGTCATGCCAGGGGGCTCCCCACCTGCACTGACCCTGGGTGGGGCTCCCAGTTAGTGCCCCCAGGGTCTGCCGGTCCCTCTGACGGCAGGGGCCTCAGAAACAGAAACCCAGGGGCCCCGGAAACAGAAATGGAGGCACTTCCACCGTTGATCAGGCCCCCAGGCAGTCAACACACACCTTTTGTGACTGGCTCATCACTGAGCATGTCCCCGAGGGTCAACCATGTTGCAGCAGGTGTCAGAATGTCCTTCGTTTAAAAAAAAAAAAATCCTCACCCAAGAACGTTTGACTTTTTAAAAAATACATTTTATTTGTAAAGAGAGGGGAAGGGAGGGAAACACTGACTGCCTCACAAGCCCCCAAATGGGGGGCCCAGCCGGCAACCCAGGCGTGTGCCCCGACTGGGAACTGAACAGCGAGATTTCAATTTTGGGGAGGACGCCCAACCCACTGAGCCACACCATTTGGGGTGGATAGGATTTGATTTTACTTATTTAAGGGATTCGTTTGACTTTAGAGAAAAACATCATTGTGAAATGTCCAAAATCCACTGGTTACCTCGCACACAGGCCCAGTTGGGGATGGAACCCGCAATCAGGTATGTGCGTCCGCTGGCAGGTACGGGTGCTCCCGCCTCCCGGCCGTGGTGACCATGGGTGTGCACACCTCGAGTGCCTACTCTCAGGTCTTTGGGGTGTCCATCCACCTGGAAGTGGGACTGCGGGGTCATATGGCGACTTCCAGTTTTAGAGGAACCACTAGACTATTTGCCACAGCAGCTGCCCCACCCCACCCACCGTGCAGAAGAAGGGTTGTCTCTCCACCTACTCAGGGACACTTGTTTTTAGAACAGTAGTCCTGAGGGCGTGAAGTGGCACCTCACTGTAGTGTACACCAACTCCACCAGCACGCCGAGGTCGCTGGTGAACACTGGACGCTGTTGGCACGTCCCCCGGCAACAATGGCCTAGGCTGTGGGGTCAATGGTGCTGAGGAAGTGTGTACAGCAATTCTCACAGACCAGACAGACGATCAAGAGCACCATTCACTACATGCAATGCACCCGTCACACTAGCTGGGCACAAGCTCCCCAAGGTTCCTCGCAGGCTCTGCAAATGCAGGAGAATGCTCCTTTAACAGGTAAGGAAACCGTGGTGGAGCCAGGCACGGCTTATCCAGGCAGTGGTTTCAGGCCAGACCGAGGTCAGGTCCACCCTCACCACTCATGTCGTCTGAAAGGCGTGTGGCAGGCTGGCCAACCCCCTTCCTCCAGGCCTCCCCATGGCGGCCTGCAGAGGAGGGCCACCTTCCAGGGCTGCACTGGACAGGTGGCATGGACAGAGTTGTTATGAAGGCCACCTGCTTGTTGATGTTCCCCCTCCCAGCCCGTGACAAGCTACCTACAGGGTGGGCAGGCACCGCAACCCACCAGGCCCAAGTCAGAATATGGGGACAGCCCCAGGGGGCACGGACCCCGCCTTCTCTGCCCAGGGCACTCCAGCAGTTGAAGGTTCAGTATGGTGTGTGTCTGTCTTTGGCCTTGGAAATATATGTGGGGTGAGGGACAGTGGGAACAGCACCCCCAACTCGGAAAAATCCAGACCCAAAGGAGGCTGCCAGCCAGAAGCTGGTACTGTCAGCACATGGCAACCTGCCAGCCCTGTCTGGGACGGACCAGACGCAGACATGGGCAGCAGTACCAAGATCAGAACTAGGTCCAAGTCTCCTATGGAGCCAACAGCAGAGGGTATGGAGGGCTGGCGGTTTGTGTGGCCAGGCAGAGGTGGCCTGACCAGGATCAGGACCAGAGGGCGGCAGCCCTGGCAGATGAGGGACCCTCAGGAAGCCTGAGCCCATCTTCTGGCCCCACCTCCACCTCCTGGAACCGCTGCACAAGTTCCATGCCCCCAACTTTGCTGCCTGGCTGCTACAGACCCCACTGTGTGCGTGTGGGACCATGACGTGCCCCCACCAATCAGGTGGACCCCCTTCCTGGCACAGACCGGATAGTCCCAAGTATCAACCTGTCCAAGCTCCCTGGGCAGGGGAGGAGGGAGGACAAGGGCCATAGGGCTGGAGGCTGGGCCCAGTCCCATTCCTGGGCACCCTGCTGCAGCGTGTGGCTGGGCCACCAGCTTGCAAGGACAGAGAGCCCCAGGGACAGAGAAATCCAATTAGCCTAAAAGCATGATCTCAGTGCTGGCTGCTGGCTCACAGCTTCAGTTATGAAGACATCTGATAAATTATGTGGGTTCTCAGGATCATTAAGCAGGACTGTCAATGGTGGTTAGCTTTCTGGAAGGTTCTGACGGCAGCCTTGGGGCCCACATTTCTGGGCTGGCCTGCAGGTGATGACTGGCCTGGCAGTGTCCCCAAAGCAGTGGAGACACCTGGCAACTCTTGGGCCCTTGACACTGACAAAAATATCCTGGTCAAGGGGCCCTGGCCACCTGTCCCTCCAGGGGACCCTGGCCCAGAACTGGCTGCTACCTGAGCCCTTGCCTCAACTAAGGTTAGGGGGACCCTTGGTGGTCATTAGGATGTGACCAGTATGACGACACTGCTCTCCCTAAATCACTACCTGCAGCTGAGGCTGCCTTCCCACCCCCCTTTCCATCACAGGAGGCGGGGACTTCAGGGTCATGCAAAGGCACTGGGGTGACAAACGAGCATGAGAACAATTTGGGAATCACAGCTTCCCAACACTAGGTTTTGACTAAGTCAGACCTGATGGCCCATGTCGAGGGTCCCAGAGTCCAGCCTGAGTCCTGGAATAGCCCTCAGTACATACGGAGGACTGAGGACGACAGGGTTTTAGGTCTTTTTGTTAAAAACTGAACAGCACCAACTGGACACAACAGACACCGGTGGGTCATCACAGACAAAATGACCCCTCACGCAGGTTAACAGTCCAGGGGAAGGAGAGCTGGGGACATGTGGTGGTCCAGGGGCATCGGCCCAACAGCCCCAGGGAGGCCAGCCCTGACGGCCTGTCCGTGGGCGGTGGCCTGGGTCCCCGCACTCACTTGGCAGGCCGGGTGATCATGCGGGTGGAGAAGTCAAACAGGTCACGGTTGATCTTGCGCAGGTTTTGCACCTCGTCTTCTAATTCCGTGATTCGGATTCGCAGCTGGTCCTGGCCGCCCAGCACGTTCTGGGGAGGAGTGGGGCCTCAGGGCGGAGGGACCTCTTACATCCCACAGAGGGGGGCCGATCTTCTCCCCAGTTAACAGCCCTTCAACCCCACACCCCCAGACCTGGCCTTCTCCACAGGCGCACCTACCTTTTCCATAGTGCTGCACATGACCCTGTGCAGCCGCTCCGCTCGCTCCAGGTAGCTGGGCTCTGAGCCCTGCAAAGGGAGGGGCTGCCTCAGCGACCTCAGGGCTCACCCCAATGCTGAGAAGGGTGACGCCTCTGTGGGAGGCTGCATCTTCAACCCCACACCTGGCAGGAAGTAATGTGACTGGCCTCCTCTTACCTGCTTCCTGCTGCAGGACTGTGCCCAACGAGGCACAGGGGATGAGGACGCTCAAGGCCACACCACAAATGTGGGACTGCAGCCACACTTGGGGGGACATGCAGAAACCAGGGCCAAGAGGGCTCCAGGAAAGAACCAGCCAGCACATGGGCAGTACCCGCCTGCCCATCTAGACGGATGGACACTGCTGCAGAGGAGAGGCTGTCCACCTCCTGCTAGATGCAGTCCAGGCATGCTGTCCTGGCTGGCAGGCAGACAGGCAGGCACTTGGCCCTGACATCCATCATGATGTCTGAATGAGGGGCCTGGACGCCCCTCTGGGGCTCATGTGAGTCCAGGGAATGGAAACAGTGGGTAGAGGCAGAAGGACCACACCCAGAGCAGCAATGCCAGGGCCTGCCAAGTACATGCAGACCTCTGCAGCAGAGTCCCTGGAGGGTGCCAGGGAAGTGCATGCTGCCTACTGCCCTGCTGGAGAAGGTACTGGACACAGTGCCTTTGGGCATGCTTGTTTGCTTGTCTGGGAATGCATGCTGGTGTGTGGCCTGCTTCTACTGTGGAAGGTGCTTTCTGGGGTCAGGTGCTAGCTACCAGGCTGGGCTCAACCATGTGGTCAGGGGAGCCTCCTCACTGAGGGAATGCGTCGAGGGCCCTCTAAGGGACTCTGGCCAGGACCCAGGCCCAGAGGAGATAGAGAGCCGTACTGCAGAGGCAGAGCTGGGGCAGGTGACCTGCTGCAGCAAGTACCTGCTGGTGGAGGCCCAGGCGCAGCGTCAGGCCCCCGCGGTGCTGCTCGTCCCCATGCTCAGCGCCCAGCAGGTGTTTGTTGAAGTGTGGCAAGGGCAGGCTGGGCCTGAAGTCAGAGCTCAGCATGCTGACTGGCGCCAGCATAATGAAGGCATTGGTCACAGGGCCTGCAGCAGGGCAGGAGGCTGGTCAGGAGCCACCTTGGCCAGGCCTGGGCCATGGCTCCCACACCCTCCACTCCTTGAACCTGCCCTCCTCCCAGCACCTGGCCAAGTGACCAGAGTGTAGACAAACAGGCAAAGCCACACAACTTACAACCCTCTTGGTCTTCTGCCCCCAGGCCCACCTTTCAGGGTCACCGTCCTGATGCACTGCTTGCTTTGGATGTCCCAGAGGCGCACGGTCTCGTCATGTGAGCCAGAGAGCAGCACACTGCTGTCAGTAGACACTGACAAGCATGTCACCTGGTTCCTGGGGACACAGGTCTGAGAAAGGGTGGTGCAAATGATCCCAAACCCCAGGAGCACGAGAACAGGGCCCCTCCCCAGCTACCAGTCTGGTCCTTGCACCTGTGGCCTTTGAACACCTTCCCGCTGTCTTGTTCTGGCTGGAAGCTCTTCTCTCTCTGTCCAGGCTGTGGAGGCGGAGGGACCAGTAAGCAGAGGAACACAACTGTGCCTCAGCCATGGGGGCCCCAGGGCACTGAGGTGATGGGCAGGGGCAGAGCCGGCTCGGCTCGAGGACCTGGATCAGGGGAGATGGATGGTTCCAGGGCCTTTGGAGGATGAACCCCCCCACATCCCACTGTCCCCTCAGCCTCCAACCACCCACCACTCACCCAGGTGCAGAGATCGACCTGGAAGATGGAGCCTTCACTGCCACCGCAGAACATGTGATGCTCAGCCAGGTCCATGGTCACGGCCATAATGCCCACATCAAAGAGCACGGAGAGCAGCAGCTCCCCTGAGGAGATCTCCCACAGCTGGGGGCAGGCAGAGTACGGGATGGGGGCTCCACACACACTGGGGTGCCAGTGCTGCAGGGGTGCTTGTCCGAGGGCCAGAAAGCCCTACCTGGGAGACTCCAGACCCCACGGAACCTCAGACAGGTGCTATCACTCGGGGTTCTTGGGGCTGGGGTGCTTGGGACACTCCCTGAGACAGAGCTTAGGTTCTCATGCCCAGGACCCCTCATTACCCCACTGTAGCTATTGTCATCCCTGGATTCTGCAGCCCCCACCACCAAGGATAAAGACCCAAGGGCCAGGCGCCCACAAATCCCTGAGCCTTGGCCAGGGAGCCATCAGGTATGGGTGGCCAAGTGGGAATTTCTGAGCCAACATGGGCCTAGACCATCTGCCCTCTGGATGTCCTTGTGTCCAGAAGCACTGGGGGAATTAAGAGCTGTCTAGAGCCGCCAGCCTGGGGGAGCAGGTGATTCACTGACTCACATCATCCAAGAACCTGCCAGCCACCTGAACCCCACTCATAGATCCACTGGGGGAGGGCAGGTGGTCCGTCCTACCTTCACTGTCTGGTCTAGCGAGGCTGTGGCCACCCTGGCTAGGGGACCCCCAAAGCCACAGTGCAGGTCTGTGATGGGAAGGGTGTGGCGGGACCAGACATGCCGGGGGGCTGGGGTCCTGGAGGAATCCATCTGCAGCACACTGCAGGAGAAGTGGATTCAGGGGGAGGGCTGCCCCCTGATGCCCCCACCCACCTCCATGTGGCCACTGGGTCCATCCCACTGGCAGAACATTCTCAGGCGGCTCCCTTTGGTTGCTAGACAAACCAGTCACCCTTGTCCTCCTCACACTGGCCCACCGACTTGCAGGCCCCAGCCCTTTCCTGCGCCAGGACTTCAGCACGGCCTCCTGCGGAGTGGGCCCCTTGCCCTCAGTGCTGAGGCCTCACCTGGATGAGGCCACAGAGTGGGTACAGGCCCAAGAGGGTCCGGGTGCTACCTGCACAGGCTCCACACTAGCACCAGGCAGTCCTTGCCACCCGAGAGGAAGTGGCTGCTGTCCCCTGTGAACTGCAAGCAGGAGATGTCCTGGTAGTGGCGGCTCAGGATGACCAGGAGGTTCCCTGTGGAGACCTGGGGAAAGCGGGGCAGGTGTGGGTCAGGTGAGGAAATGAGGTGCAGCACCTGGCCCCCAGTTGCCAGGCCACAGGGGTACACTGAAGAGACAGTCCTCCCAGGCCCAGGGAGACGGGTGGTGTGACTGCAGCCCCAGGGCAGGTGTGGGTGAGAGTGTCCAGGCTGGTGAGGGAGCAGGGCCGTTTGGGAGCAGCCAGACCCACGACCAGCAGCAGGTGGCTCCCCATGGGATTCTGTCCCAGCAGGAAGTCATAGTCTTCCAGATTGGCTGTGAGGGGCTTCCAATGCAGCCATGCCACTTGGTGTAGCAGGAGGGACTGGGGGTGGGGGCACCTCTTGCTGTGAAACCTGGGCAAAGGGAGACCCAAACCAGCAGAAAGCTGATCAGTCTGATCTACCGAAGAGGGAGGGGCCTGGTGGCAGGGAGAGGTGAGCCCACAATACAACACCTGGGAAGGGCCGTGGCATGGGAGGAGGAGAACAGAGATGATACTGTAGGTTAAACCATGTCCCTCACAATACATGTCCTAATCCCCGGAACCTGTGACCTTACTTAAACATGAAAGCTTTGCAGGTGTAATCAGTTCAGGTGAGATCCAAGTAGAGCAGGGTGGCCCCAAATCTAACAAGGGGGAAATGTGGACAGACATAGACTTGTTCACCCTGGAGACCCACTCTAAGGATTTCTAGCCTCTACCACCCACTCAGGGGGCAAGGGGGAAGGTCAACAGTGGTAGCTATGGCAGTCAGTTCAGCCCTAACTGAAAGCCCTCAGCCTGGGCTCTTGCTTTGGTTGTCCTTGAGTGGCGTCCCCTCGTGGCCAAAGCTCACACCCATCAGGAATTCTCCAAGAGAATGAGGGGGCCAGAGCCAGACAGCAACCACAAGAGCCAAAAGTGCTAGGACTGGATCCCTAAGATGAAGGCCATCAGGCTGAAGGCCCCTGGTTTATACCACGTCCCCTGCACCAGGCTGACAGCAATCAGAGCAAGGATTTCTCCCATGAGAGACAATCTGAGAAGTCCCTTCCTGCCTCAGTTTCCCATCTTGTGCCTGAACAACTAACTGATCCCTTGTTTCAAAATCAGAACTAAGATTTAAAACTGCCAGGATGAGATAACAAAGCCTCTCCCATTCCATCGAGGACTCAGTTCCCTTGCCAAGCCTGTTTTGTTGGTTAAGATCAAGGTCAGGCAGGACTGAGGTGTTTACACCCACCTCCTATCCCCAAATCCTACAACGTCTGTGCAGGAAGTGAGGTGAGTCTCCCTTCAAGCAACCAACTGTTGATGGTCTAAGTCAGTGGTCCACAGGCCAAGCTCCATGACCCTGGCTCTGACGCTCACCTCCCACAGGTATATGCTCTCTGCAATCCCTGCCAGCAAGTAGAGGCCATTGGGTGACGTGGTCAGACAGGTGACAGGCCCAGGGCACATGATCTTCTGCTGCAGCTGGTCCTACAGGAACATAAGAAGTCTCTGAGCTTCACGCAGAGCTCAGGAGCCAGGGAGCAGTGAGGAGAATGGGTGGGGGTACCCAGGCAGCTGGTAAATCCAAGAAAACCAGAAAGACTGGGAACAGGGGTGGTTTGAGCAAATCCACAGTTCAGCAAAGAAGTGTTTGCTCCAGCCCAGGCTTTGCAGGTTGGAGGTATAGACCTCCAAATCCTTGGATAAAAGCAGGATGGTGCTCCTATAGGCCTGGGCGTGGGTGTGGGTGAGGCACAGAGAGCAGTGAGGCTAGAGAGCCCGTTCCCTAATCTTACTTCTTTAAGGTCCCACCTGCGACTGTGAGCCTCAGTTTCCAAATCTCTAAAATGGGAAAACATGAGTTCTGTGTGGCCCACACCGGGCAAAGCCAGAGCACAGGGCTTGCCCCAGGAGTTGTCATCTGATAGAAAGGGGCTGCAAGCAGCTGCAGGAAACGCATTTTGAGGATGGTGAAAGAGACACCACGGACTCTAAAAAAGTAAACACAGTGTCCTTTTTTTGAAAAATAAGTTCTCTGAGCTACCCTTTCAGGGGGTTCACCAGGCCTCAGACCTTCACCTTTCCAGCTTACGAGACCCACGGAACCGTAACTGCAAACTCTCCCTTTACATCTCGCGCCCGTTTATGCGCAGCTCCCTTTAGCTGCCCGCTACCTCCCCACCCTTTCATGTGCTCATGCTCCTGGCCCGCTGGCCCAGGGATCCGCCCCAGAGCGCGCAGAGCACCCTGAGACTTCTTCACCCCGAGTCAGGGTGTGTGCAGCCCCCGCTAACCCCAGTCTCGCGCGCGCCCCACACATCCCCTTGTCTCGAGCGTGCGCCGCCGCACCTTCCGCTGCAGCTCCCAGGCGCTGATGTAGTTCTTGCCCAGCTGCGCCGCAAGCAAGTACTCGCCATTGAGCAGCGCCAGGCCATGGGGCCCAGCCTGGCCGCCGCGGTACGTGAGCAGGTTAGCACCCGAGTGCAGCTCCCACACGATGCAACTCCACAACTGGGCAGACGAATCAGTACACACAGCCACCTCCATGGGCGCCGCCATCTTACTCTCCCACCGCCCCGGAAATTCGTCATCACCAGCGAGACTTGGGCGGCTGCACCGCACGGGCTAGAGCGGCACTCAGGTGGCCCCGCCCCTTAGAGGGGCCGGCTCTCCGGAGCGCAGCTACTTTGGGGAGCGCGCTTCCTTATGAGTTTAAGTCCTCCCTCCCAACCTTCCCTCGACTCCGCTGAGCTTCACCGGGCGTCCCGCCTGGTCAAAAGTCTTGGAAGGAGGCCTCTTGCAAAAGTATATGAAATATAAATCAAGGCCTAGAGTCTTCTGCGAGCAGTTAGCTTCAGAGCCTGGAAGTCTAGCTTAGCTATTTAAGCTCGGTGGTTTTGGCAAAGTGACTCAAGCTCTCAGACTCTTTTTTTTTTCTTTTTCTTTTTTTTAATACGCAAATAATGAAGGACCGCCCTCACAGACGTGAAATACAGACTACGTGCCTGACATTACATATCTAGTTAGCACTCAATGCGATGTAATTAAGTCATACGAATCCACCGTCAGCCTCCCCATGGACCCTCTTGGTGGCCACAAAATACACATTTTTATTTCATGAACTTGGCTCAGGCCAAACAAGTCGAAAGCGCACGCTTAACTGAAGGTCACAGCTGCTGCCCTGGCCACATCTAAAAACAATGTCAGCTGCTGTTCTGGCTACATCGAAAAACAATGTACTTTATTTTTTAAATATTTATTGATTTTAGAGAGAGGAGGAGGAGAGAAAAACATTGCTTTGTTGTTCCACTTATTTATACATTCATTGGTTACTTCTTGTACTTACCCTGACTGGGATGGAGCCCTCAACCTGGGCGTATGGTGCTCTAACCACCCGCCTACCGGTCAGGGGAAAACTGCACTTTAAAATGTGGAATTAGTTGCCAACCTTTGAAAGGGGAGAAATCACTTAAAAGTCGAAGTCTCCAGCCGGAGAGGTTTGTCAGTCCTGGGAGGTGTGTCCACAAGCAACACCGAGGGTGCCCAATGCGGCGTACCTGCCACCCAGTCCAGAGCACCGCCCCCAAGCCGCTGAAAGCGGAGCCCAGAACGTGAGGATCCGCAGTCCCAGCCTCGGCCGCCAGGTGGCAATCGGGAGCCACCTACGGGGAGGCGGAGTGTGGGGCCGCTCCCAGCCCTGGGGTCACAGTACGAAACAGTTACTGGGATGAAGGGTCTGGAGGAGGGGCTTCCAGGAAGAGGTATCCTTTGAGCAGGGTACTAACAACTTGAAGAGAAAGAGGGGCTGAAGTAGTGCCAAGGCCCTAAGGCTAGACCCTAGAGGGGGCACTGGGCTATTCAGGGACTTCTGGGCAGTGGGGAGCCTGGATTTAATTTTATCCTGGGGGAGGGAGGACTTTCATAAGTTGCAGGTCCCAACCCGTAGCACCTGCTAAATGGGGAAACTGAGGCAGGAACCACTTAGTCCAAAGACACATTGCAACTAGAACCAGGTGTTTCTGATTTCCGCCACCGGAACCAGATGATGCCCCCAGGTTCCTCAAATGCTTGTACTGTGAATAATTGAACCGAGATATCTTGAATGCTAATTTACACTTTTCAAACACCAAAACAAACAAAAAAATTTTTTAAAGAGATGGGGAGAGAGAGCAAAATGTTGATTTGTTGTTTCACTTATTTGTTGGTGGCTTCTTGAATGTGCCCTGACCAGGGATTGACCAGGCGACCTTGGTGTATTGGGACAACGCTCTTGAGCTAGCGGACCAAGAAATCGTTTAGGCTTTTCCCAAAACAAATCTTTCTTTGATAGCTGAAGTCCGGCCCACTGCAGAATCTGGGGGTGGGCCTAGGTGACCATTCTAAATTCCAAGTCAGGGCTTGAAACGGGCACTTCTGAGCCCTGGGGCAAGTCATCACACAGCTCTGGGCCTGTTCCCCCATGTACAAAGTGCGGGTTTCTCAGAGCTATGGGATCTGCGTCCTCATCTTGGGAAGACTAGCCTGGAAGTTTCTGAACTCCGGATACAGGGGTGGGCCCAGCAGGTGTGGTTTGCAGGGGACCAATTGTACCAAGAGGGGTAAGGGGCTCTGATGATGGATGTTCAGGCAGGAACAGGCCCAGGCAGGGCCTCAGGGCAGGGCTGCTGGATTGCAATCAGGCCCCTCACAGGCCTCTCCCTCCTTTCCTCCCCTCCTCCCTTCCCTGGGGACCCAGTAGGCCAGGCTGCTGTCAGGTCAGAGGTCACCCCACCCCCAGCCCAGTTCCCGGAATGAGGACAGACCAGTTGTGTCAGAAGAGCAGGACAAAAGCCACACTTTGGGGGCCTCCAGACCACCCAGTCACCAGACCTCCTTGGTGCCAGACAGGCTCTGCCTCCCAAACCCAAGGCTGAAAGGCCCTGGTGGTGGTGGGGCGAGAGTAGCCACGAGGCTTGCGGAAACTGAGGTTATGGGTCTAAACCCGGGATTCTTGCACTCTTTATTCCTCCACGTTCGCTGAGCACCTCCTGTTTGCAGGCACTGGTACACTGGTGAACCAAACCAGACCCCTCCTTTCTGGGAGCCCAGCCACCTCACTCCCTGCCCGGCCCAGGGAGTGGGGGTGCTTGAACAAACCCGGCAGCCCCCGTGGTGTGCACTAATGGTACAAGGATAACAGAGGACTCCTTGACTCCAGGGCAACCATCTTTCTCAGGCATCCTTTCAACCCTGCCCGCTGCCCCCCCTTTGGTCTGCCTCTCCTGATTAGCTCCGCTAATCAGGCATAGTTTTGAGTTTCACCTCCTGGGAGTTTCCCTGCCTCCTAACAAGCAGAACAGGAGCCAGGAGGTGCCCTGGCTTGAGGAGGTGGGGAGAGGTGCTGCGGTCTGACCTCTCGGGTCTGACCCCTCCGTGTGCCTCCAGGGGCTGTGTGACCTCAGGGACCCAGTCCTCCTCCAGGTGTCTTTAGCAGATGCATAAAGATACTAGACTGGCCTATACAGTTGGCAAAACAAGGGCCTTAAAACACTCCAAAACTTTTCCTTTATGCCCCTGGGGGGCAGGGGGCTCAGAGAGGCAGGTGGGTTGACCTGTCCACTCCAGGTTCTCCAGGCTCATGGAGATGTAGGCGCCCCATCTCTGGTATGGATGGATGAAATAAAAGGCTGGATGAAATGGGCCAGGGGAGGCTTCTGGGAACCAACTGGCTGCCACAGGAGCGGGCTGTTTTTCCTGATTCCTACCCAGCCTTCGGGGCTGACCCAGACAGAAGGGACAGGCCCAGGCCAGCCACAGGCAGGAGCTAGTGGCAGGGGAGCCGGGTGGCAGGAGGCGGGGCCTGTCCACTATCCAGCCATACCAACCCGGAGCCTGTCACATGCCCTGGGTGTGGTGATATGAGGGTCACCCCAGGAAATCTCTCTCTTCCAGGCAACACCTTACATGCTGTGTGCTTGCTGCCTGTCAGGTTTGGGTTTCAAGGATGAAAACCAGGGTTTCCCTTTATCTGGGCTGAGCCTGGGGGTTGCAACTGTAGCCCAAGGGACCAATCACCCCTCCGTCTGGTTTCTTTGGGGCTACATTGCACTGAAAGACAAAGTGTTAAAATGTGAACCAAACCACAGGGGAAAGCTGGGGGGGGGGGGCAGGGTGAACAGAGGCATGGCCAGGGCGGTCTCCTTAGGGAACCAAAATGATGCCAGCAAGGAGGGGGTGGGGCGGATGACTCGCCCTGGGGGCTTGAGTCAGACAACTCAGGAGTGACACGGGCATCAGAACCCAGGAGAGCAGGAGGTCTAGGCTAGGGGGCTGGGGCACCAAGAGGGTGACACTGAGCGGGAGGGAGCTACCTCTCAGAGCTGGCTCAGCCAGGGTCTCCCTCCGAAACCGCAGACACCGAGGCCGGGTCACTCTCGGGTGCGGCCATCCCAGGCACTGTGGGGTGCTGAGCAGCATCCTTGGTCTCACCCACTTGGTGAAAGGAGCACCCCCAGTTGTGACAACCACAGATGTTCCCAGACATCGCCAGTATCCCCTGGGGTCACACAGTCCCTACTAGAGGACCCATGAATTAGCCCCTGTGCCCTCTGCCACCTGGACCCAGACAGGGTGGGGCGACGCCCAGGAAAGCAACACTGAGACCTTTTCTGTTAAAAGTCAGAAGTGTTTTGTCTTGTTTTAATATCATCAGCTTTACAGGATTACAATTGTCTTAAATATTTCTGAAATTTAAATACAATCTGCATAATAATGTTATAAAATGTAAACTTTCAGTGTTCTTTTAAATTTCAAAATCACACCTCCCTCCCTTTTTTTGGTCTTTTGCCCCCCCTTAATACCTGAATGTTCTGCAAAACTGAAATCCTTACCGGCTGCCCCACCGGCCAGGGTGACAGGCAAGGCCCGGCCAGAGGTAGAGTAGTTTATACCTTTTTAAAGTTTTTTTCCTTTAACCTGAGTTCCGGCACGGTCCCCGTGCCATCGGACAAACCCCAGAGAAACTGAAATTTCACATGTCAGGAATGAAAGGCTGAATTCATTCGTGTTTGCCAAGAAAAAAATGCAGAAGTAAAATTAAGGGGAAGAAAAAAATGATAGAAGCGGGCAAAAATGACAAAAGCAAAAACAGTGACTGTACAAATGCACAACTATTAAAAAGTAGCTCAGCCGCCCCAACGCCTCTGCTCTGCCCCTTGCGCGACAGTGGGCAGCGCTGCGGCCAGTTTAGGGGTCACAAGGAAGATTCTAGAAGCAGCTGTCACAAACATCTCTAGAGCAGGGGAAGCCCCTGAGCCCCTCTTGAGCTTGAGCCTGAGCTTGGGGGGTCCCTGCGTGCACCAGGCAGCTAAGCCCCACCCATTCCAGAATGAACAGTGTACAAGCAAGCCGCTGACAGAGATGGCTGCCCCTTCCCCACCCCAGTTTGCATGAGGGGGTGCTGAGCTGCACCCTAGAACCCCCGCTGACAGGGGTTGTCCTGAGATGGGCGTGGCAGAGGGTACATGGGGACTCACTCGAGGCAGAGGCTGCAACCCCGTCCCAGCCTGGAGCTCCCCCGTGCCTTTCCATCCCTTCCCCCTGCCCACAGCGCCGTCTCCCCTCACCCCTGCAATCACCCTGAACAGCAGACATGCCCTGAGTTAGATCCGCAGGCCATATCGCCCACAGGACACGACACCCAGGTCCCCCAACACACACAGACATGTGAGACACACACACAGGACCAGAGAGAGCACCCAGGTGGGCTCTCAGGTGGAGGTGCCCGTGACACGGGTAGAGGGGATAGGTATTGGGACTTGTTGAAACTCTGAGCCAGAAAAAGGGGTCAGGCTGAGGAGGGGCTTTGGCATCAAGAGTCGGACCTGAGGTAGAAATAACCAGGCAGCAGACACCCCCATGTGGGCCGCACCCACCAGGAGGCTGTGGCTCCGGGGGGCCTGGTCATGGAAGAAGGGAAAAGGAGCATCCGGTCCACTGCTCTGGAGACAAGAAGATCCTCCTCCCACAGTGGTTGTGCTGCTGCAGTGAGAGTTGGGGAGGAGAACCTTCCAGAAGTTAAAAACAGAGAGGAAACCCCAGATGCCTGCAGCTGCCCCATTTTGGAAGGTGGGCGGTGTCAACAACCCTGAGATACACCAAAGAAAGGGGTTCTCCCCAAAGATACCACAGCACCGCACCCAAGCAAACCCAGACATGGGGCAGGGGTGGGACCTGGATGCTCCCCTCTGCAAGGTCTCCAAGGCAACAAGATGGCGCCGGGTCCGGGATCACTGAGTCTGGGATCCGGGGATCTGGGAGGCTGCCAGGTGGGGCACTTCCCTTTTTGGCCTCATTAAGCCAGGCTCCCTGGGCCCAATAGAGCAGACAAACTCAATGCATGGAAGGAAAGGGCGCTAAGGTGTAGGAGGCACAGTCCCAACCAGCACTGCCTGGTTCCCAGAGAGCCAGCAAGGGTTAGGATGGCAAAGGAAGCCCCCACACCCCACCTGGGCCTTTGGACAGAAGGTGCTACCTTGTAGCGAAGATCAGCCACTGAAATAAACTCCTCAGCCCAACTGTCTCCGATGCCCACTTTCTCACCTGGGGGAAGGGGTCGTGGAGTGAGTGCAGCCTCCTCGTGGGCCTCTATTTAGTTCCTTTAATTACATTGGGAATGTAGCCTTGCACGGGGGCGAGAGAGAACTGAGGGACTAAGTGAAGGAGATGAGAAGGAGTGGGGTGTGCAGGATGACAAGGCCCCAGAATCCTCACCCTGAGCTTAGCCTGGCTCACCCCCGTCTCCGAACATCAATACAGATAGGTCTCCAGAAGCAGCCCTTCCAGGCAAGAGGGAGTCCCCAGGCCACATTCATCCCTGAGACAGGAGCCTGGGAGCTATGACAGACACCCCCCACCCAAGGCCCTGGCCCTTCTTCCAGCACTGTGTCCTCTCTGGTTGACTTCCAGGTCCCTGACTGGGAGCACAGTGTGGCAAGCGAGAGACAGCATCTAGAGTCCTGCTTTGCCATTCAGCACTCACGTCCTCCCATGGCGCCCCCAGCCCCAGCCTGGCACTCAGCACCTGAGCTCACCGCCTTTTCTGGCTAGAGCCCAGGGCGCAGTGTCCCGCGCTCACCGGCTGCCTACTGCACCACAGGAAATGCACACATGAACCCAAATCAGTCATGGAAAAAATTAAAAGGATATTACTTTTTTTTTTTGCTTCTTTTAAGTCCAGTTTCCCTGAATGAACACAAATATATAGAGATATATATCCTTTTCCTAAGGTTTGATTCCTTCCCTAAGAATAAAATATAATATTTACAAAACAAAACCCCCCAAACCTCTTAAAAACCCTATAAAGCTTGAATATCACTATTTCTTTAAAAAAAAAATAAAAAGTTCCCAAAAGCAACAAGAAAAAAATTCAACTGATCTTGGCTCAGGGGTTTCACTGAAAACAAGGAGCTGGGTATGGACAGTGGGTGTGTGATGAACAGGAAAAAAAAAAGGAAAACAACCGGACAAAAATGAAAACACACAGTGCAGGGATGTATGAGGTAAACAGGACCTGGTCCAAACCAGCGACCAGTCCTAGTCGGTCCACCACGGCTGCAGGCGAGCCCTGGGAACTTCCTTTGCTCGTTTCCTTCCCTAGTCTCACAATTCATTTCTCTGAATGTCTGAAACCTGAGTAATTCAAGTGTTCCTTGGTTTTCCCCTGTTTTATTAAATTTTCTTTATATATATGTATATATATATATTTTTTCTTCTATTTTTGGCGTTAGCTGTGGCTCCTTTGTGGATATCTCCCCTCCCCACCCGTATCTCCCACCACCCCGGCCCTGCTTGGCCCACCTTTCGGCCCCTGCCCAGTGTGACCGGCTCCCAGGGTGGGGGCGGCGGGTGGGGAGTGGTGCGGTTAAGGCAATGAATTATTTGAGGTAGAAGACGTGGGGGGTGTGGGTAACCCCGCTGGCCCGGCCTGGCTGCCCACGCTGCTGCTGGTCCCACTGTTTCCTCCCCGGCTGCTGCCACCACCGCTTTTGCTGGGAGCTGAGGGTGGTGTGGGGGCTGGTGGCTGAGCAAACAGCACTCCTAATGCAAGGACAGGAGGAGAGACATGTTATGGAGAGTCTTTAAAAAATTATATGACAGGTACAAGGGGCTCCATGAGCACTGATTCCCTGCAAAGTTCTCCCATGGACCCGCTAGGAACACCTACTACCTCATCTCAGTTTCTGCTTCCCAAAGGAATCTTTGCCCAACAACCCAGCTGTTCTTTGTCCCCAGCGCCACCTGGTGTTCTAATGAGCAAATGGTGCGAGTACATTTTTTTACAAGGAACTTTGAAACATCACTTGTACAGTTCACCTTTGAACAACACAAGTGTTAGAGGTAGTGATCCTGACACAGTTGAAAATCCAAATATAACTTTTGACTCCCCAAAACTTAACCACTAATAGCGTATTGTTGACTGGAAGCCTTACCGATAACATAAATAGTGGATGAACACATATTTTATATGTTATATGTATTATATACTGAATTCTTACAGTAAAGTGAGCCACAGAAAAGAAAATGTTATTAAGAAAATCATCAGGGAAATATATTTGCGGTATTTATTGAAAAAAATGCACATGTAAGTTGGCCCACACAGTCCAAACCCTTGTTGCTCAAGGGTCAGCTCTATTTTTGAGCACTGACTATGCGCTGAGCACTGTGCCAAGTACTTTCTACATAAAGCACCATGCCAAGTGCCTACTATGTGCTGAGCACTGCTTTAAGTACACTGCATCGATTATACACTCAGGTCTCCCAGGGAAGAAAGGACTTCGCTCCCTCTGATGGCTGGGCTCACACAGGCCAAACCTGGGGGCCACCCGGGACTCCCAAGTTAACCTGGCAAATGAAGCGGTCAAGGTGTTACCTGTGTACATAATCCCGTTAATCTCCACTGACATGCTTATGCTATTGCTGCCATTGGTGCTGGTCAAGTTTGCAGCGGAATCCTGGCGGCCCTCAGAGGCTGTGGGAAGAAGAAAGGCCACCATTTGGAAGCACAAACCCATCTGTGTGATGATCTGTTTCACGTCTGTCACGCCCACCAGACTTGAAACTCCACAAATCTGCAGACTGTATTTGCCTCCAGCAAACCCAGGACACACACAGTACATGTCAAATAAGAACATATTTGTCTGACATTTGCTTTTATCATGGCTGTCTTTTAAAAAATTAATTAATTAAAAAAAAGATCCTCCCTTGCCCTGGCTGGTGTGGCTCAGTGGACTGAGCACTGGACTGAGAAGCAAAGGGTTGCTGGTTCGATTCCCAATCAGGGCACAGCCTGGTTGTGGGCCAGGTCCTCAGTAGGAGGTGCCCAAGAGGCAACCATACATTGATGTTTCTCTCCTTCTCTTTCTCCCTCCCTTCCCCTATCTCTAGAAAAATAATAAATATTATCTTTAAGAAAAATCCTCCCCCGAGAATATGTTTACTGATTTTAGAGAAAGAGGGAAGGAGGGAGAGAGAAAGAAACATCAATGTGAAGGAGAAACATTGATCGGTTGTTTCCCATATGTACCCCAGTGGGGATTCCACCCCTCAACCTAGATATGTGCCCTGACCAGGAATCAAACCCAAAACCCTTTGGTGTATGGGACGACACTCCAACTAAGTGGGCTACCCAGCCAGGGCTATGATTGTAAGTCTTAAGCAATACTGCACACCCAAATCATATTGTTCCTTCTAACAGCCACAAGGTCTTCCAGATGTGACTCATTCGTTCCTCACTGATGGACACACACATAGCTTCAAGGCCTCACTGTTACGACATCATGCAGATGACTGCAGTGAACAATCCTGTCCATACAGGTATCCCCCGCTTTTTGAAAATTCGCATTATACCACTTCAAGAGGCTTCACAGGAATTCCCTGTTTTTGGATAGTGGGAGACACCTGTGTTACCTTGGGCACCTGCACTAGGTCTGCTGTAGATACCAAGTAGGTCACTGGGTCACATTTTCATTTTTAAAAGAGATTGCCAAATTGCCACCTATTTATACTCCCACCAGCAGGGCCTGTTTCTCCATATCCTAACACTGGATATTGCCAAACTCTGATGGGTGAAAAATGGCGTCTCCATGTTAATGTGCAGATCTCCAGGTCAATGGAGTTGAACTGCTTCTCATGGGAATTTACTAGTCACAACTGCCCATTTTTTCTATTGATTTGCTTGCCTTTTTGTTGATTTCTAGGTACTCTTTACATATGCTGGCTCCAAGACCCTTATTTTGTTACACATGCCAGGAAGCATGGAGAGTCTGGGGGCCGGGCTGATACCTTGGCTGTTGATACGAATGCTCATGGGCAGTTGGGCTGTCATGGCCAGGAAGTTCTGCTGTAGCGCTCGCTGCATGAGCCGTTGCTGCTCATCCGCCACCAGGGCCATCTTCTTTTCTGGAGGCTCCCCAGACTCCAGTTTCTCCCGAAGTTGCTCCAGGGCAGCTGCCTGTGCCGCCACAGCTGCCTGGGCTGCTGCTGCTTGCACTGCTACTGCCTGGGCTGCCACCACGGGGTGGCCTGCCAGGGAGACTGGCAGGCGGCCGGGGACCGTGATGGGGATGGCCGAATCCTCCTCTAGACAGGAGAGAAGAGGAGTTGGTGGCCAGAAATGAGGTGGCCTGGCCCAGCCTTTCACCCATGCAGGAATGTGCACCCTCTTGAATACCACTACTGACAGGGTGCTCACTCCCTCTCCAGGGATGTAGCTAGGTTTCTGAATAGGCACAAGTACTCTAAAATATAAAACCCTTTCTAAAGTAGATGCTATTATAATGGTAATACCGGTGGTAACAATACTAGTTATACACTAGTATTACAGTAGTATTCAGTATCAGTACTATATAGACACTATAACAGCATCTATTACATATAATACTAGTCATAACAAGGACTCAGAACATGTCTTGTCTAGAGCACTTAATGTGAACCATCTTGAAGGGCCATTTCAACAATCCCAAGTCTACTCTTATCTCCAGATGAGGAAACTGAGGCTCGGAGAGGATGTATAACTTTCCCAAGGCCACACAGTGGAGAGAGGCTGAGCTGGGATTCTAACCCAGGCAGCCCAACTCCAGAACCAGTCCCTAACCATTCCCCTCTTCTGTGATTGAAACAAATGTCCCTGTCATTCCCACTCACTGGTTCCATTGGGACCCACTGTCTCTTCTTCCCGATTCCTTCTCCCACGTCAATCCCTGCTCACTGGGCGCTGCCCCTACTTGCTGGGCCGTCATTCCAGCCTTTGCTGTTGCTGGGCCCTCTGCCCTGGAGTTTCTGCGGTGCTCTCTCCTTGCCTCCCTCTTCTGGTCTCACACAAACGTCTCAGCCAGCTTTCCCATCACTGCTGCCTGCTGCCTGCTGGTTCCAGGCTCTCTCATGACTGGAATCATGATCTGATCTCCCAGATCAGACCTCTTCATCTGACATGCCACCATCTTCCTCAGCTCCAGCATGAGACCTGGCCCATGTGGATACTTAATAACCATTAACTGGTATCTCTGGAACTCCCGAAAGCCAGGAGGGTAAACTGAGGCCCACAGAAGAATGAATGAGCTAATATTACCAAGACCTAACTTTTCAGAGCCTTGTGCGGATCACCTCAGATCCTTGGCCCACTCCCTGGAAGTAGGAAGTCACAGCCAGCATGGCAGAGGAGAAATGGGAACTCACACAGGCACACCAGCCTGCTCAAGGTCATGCTGCCACAAGCGCTATCCGTGTTCTGTATCAGGAAGGGTTTGAGGCTCAGTGGGAGAGAACTGTGATCACCTGGTGATGTCTGCCACAGTGGAGACTAGGATGGGGGCTGCCTATCAGGTAACTGCAAACTGGGCCCTGTTGCATGCTGGGCATTTTTTACACTGAAGGCTCCTTACAACTCTACAAATAGTGGGTAATTGTCTCCACTTCACTCATAAGGAAATCAGGCTCAGAAAGGGGCACCAAGCCACTCAGGGACACCTAGCAATTGCTTCAGGGATGGATGCCAGGTCAGTTTGATAGACCCATACTACACTCTCAATGGTGTCTGCTCAGACAGTGTTGACAAAGACTAACGCTCAAAGGGAAAAGAACAGAGGAATCAACTAGTAATGTCTGCCATGGGCAAGGTATGGGAAAAAATATAGTGATGAAGAGTGTCAGCCACAGGCAGAAGACTGGGGCAATGGTACAATAAGTGATTAGCAATGCCTGCCGCAGGATTAGTACAGGGATCAATTCACCGGAAAAACAGCGATTAATTAATAATGTCTGCTATGGGCTCAGGGTGGGAAAATTGTGCTTGATTTGTAATGTCTACCTTGGCATAGAATTGAAGAATAAAAACTATCAACTAGTGGTGCCTGCCATGAGCTCAGGAGTAGGAAAAATGGATTGACTAGGAATGTCTACCTGCTGTGGGTTGGGGGTTAGAAAAACGGGGATTGATTAGTGACGTCTGCCGTGTGCACAGCACTGCTCAGATCCACAGCCCTCACCCAGGATAACTGGGGGTTTCTCAACCTGTTTACTCAGTGAGGGGGGAAGGTACCCACCCTGCAAGGCCAGACAGCTTGAGTCGGGATCAGCCCGCTCCTTACCTTTCTTGATCTTGGGGGAGGGGGTGATGGAGCTGCCGTTGGTGCTGGTGGCCAGGCCCAGGGAGGACACAGGCAGTTTGGGCGAGGAGAGCATGCTGTGGGCACCTCCCGGTGAGTAGGTGAAGAGGGAGCCCCCAAAGCTCTGGCGCCGGCCCTCCCTCCGGTTGCTGTCAATGGCTGCCTGGAGCTCGTTGGGGTTGCTGAGGCCGCGCTTCTCACACTCATACGGGTACAGGTACTTCATGTACCTGCGGGCAGGGGTGAAGGGACAGGGTGGCACCTGGGACACTTCCCGTGGCTCCCTGCTGCCCACGGCATAAAACAAACCCCACTGTGGCACCACCTCCCCGCCTTCGTCACACATGACCACCAGGGAATCACTCAGCAAGGCTCAGAGCCAGAATTTTTATTATGCCATTCCCTGTCTCAATGCTTGTCCCCATGACTACCTCACACTAACCCTTTAATACGCAATTCCAGTAGCCTCAGAGCCAGAACCTTCCATAAAGCCCACCCTGAGCTCTCAGGACTCGGTCCCCTTCCACAGCCCAGTGCGTCTGCGGTCCTTCCTGTCCCAAGCCCTCTGCACACACAGCACTCACTGAGTCCGCAGGGTGAAGGCGGCGCTGGTAATGGATGTGGGCAGGTTGAGGCCCTTGGTGATCTCACGCCACAGCTTCTTATTGATGACCTCCACCAAGCCGCCCTTCTCCGTCACCAGCACGTACAGCATGAACAGGTCAAGCACCTGCTTGGCCATGATGGGGATCCGGTTCACGGGCGTCCCTGTGGGGGAGGGGTGAATGCGGGTGAGGGGGCGCCGTTGCCAGGACCAGAGCCCCACATGCAGCAGATGCCAAGTCTGCGGTTAACACAGCGGTCTGGAGCAGGGTCCCCCCAGCTGTGAGGACATCAGGGCAGGTCACCCTTTGTGGGGGCATCCTGGGCACCGTAGGGTGTTGAACGGCATTCCTGGCACCCACCCACTCGATGTCAGAAGCACTCCCAGTCGTGAAAACCACAGATGTCCCTGACAGTGCCCAGTGTTTCCCAGGGACAGGACTGCCTCAGGTGAGACACCACGTCTCCTGCCCCAGACAGCACTGAGGCAGCAGCTCTGCCTGAGCTTCTTTATCGGGGACCTGGCTCATTTCCGAACTCGCCGGAAAGGAGGAGGGGGTACAGCGAGGAGACGCCGGGGGGGGCCCACCTGGGGCACGGGCATGAGAAATGCAGCCTTTGCTATTCCTACTCCCACCACTGACTACGACAGCTGGCAAAACAACTCCACCTGCGTTCCCAGAGGCCTGCTTCCTCCCTGTGCGGGAAGGTCTGTAATGTGCGAACGGGGCTGTAGTGTGTGTGTTGTGGGGGCCTGCAATGTGTGTGGGGGTGGGGGCTGTAGTGAGGGAGAGACAGCTTGGTTAACCCACTTGGCAGCTTGAGAGTGGGGCAGTGGTCTAGGTCAGGGAGGGGAGGGCAGCGGTCAGCTCAGGAAAACAGGGCCGCTGGTGCAGAGCCAGCCTCGGGGCAAGGGAAGTGGGCTAGTTCAACGAGGGGAGGACTGACCCCTGCACATGGGCCTGATGCCCTCGTGGGCCCGCCGAGCCCTCCACACAGAGGTCCCAGCCTCGCAGCCTTCAGGTCTCAGCCTGGCCTGCCTGGTGCCTTCCTGGTGGAGGGTGCAGAGGGCGCCCTTCTCTCCCCAGCAGTGAATCCCAGGTTTTCTTGCTGTGGACCCCCTTGCCCTGTTCTGCTCACACGGGGTCCTCGGTGCGCAGCCTGGCACATGACAAGCGTTCAATAAACAGCAAAGGCTGGCAGGCTGCATCTGAGCCCGAGGGCCACGCTTACCCCCATCTGGAGATGCACAAACAGACACTGCAGGATGTGCCCTGACGGAGGAAGGTCCGAGTGAGGGGTCAGCTTGCCTGCCCTGGGGCCTGGACGATGCTCTTCACCTCTGGACGTTCCAGAGCCACCTCCCACGACCTCTGGCTGCGTTCCAGCCCTTCCCACATTGCAAACCCCCAACGAATGGAGAACCACCTGGAGTGGGGGCGGGAAGATGGACCTCAGACTGCCCCCATCCCCGATTCTATTTTCAGCCCAAGAGAAAGAGAGAAAAAGCAACATCAGTGTCAGCACACACAGCCCAGAGATGTGGCCGCAGCGCAGTCCTGCCTAGACTTGGATTTAGACCCTGCCCGGGCAGGGGGAAGAATTACGGAATCAGATCCTTCTGGCTCTGTGGCAGACAGGGCCTGGACGGATGTTTATAGAAGGATGGGGGCTGGGAGAGCACAGGGAGGCACTGGTGGTGGGCAGTGAGGGCTGTGGGGGCGATAAGAAAGGGTGGAGAGGTTGTCAAGGAAATAGCAGGCGGGTGGGGTGCAGGCACCAGGAGAATTCAGTTGGAGGCTTTTATTTTGTGACCCTTTGTCTGGAGCCAAGGGGAGGACGCTTGTGAGATGTAGGACACGGTGTCTGGGGTGAAGTGGGTCTGACGGATTCTCAGCCCCAAAGGCCCCCCATGACAGAAGGGAGTGCCGAGGAGGGTGGCAGGGAAGAGAAGGTCTTAGGGCCAGGTTCTGAGGAATGCATAGGAGTCTGCTGCCTCCGGCCCTTCAGGGGCATCATCTTGGTGAAGAAGGCAAGGCTGGACACAACCCTCACAGCCCTTTTTGGCAAGGGCCTGGACTCTGCGTCTGGGGGCCCCAGCCTCACCCCCACCCTGGTGTGGCTCGCAGCACTTCCTAAGTACCTCTAGGACAGACACCAGGTGGCTTGTCCTGGGTAACATGGGTGGGCTCCAGGCCTGGAAGCTCTGAGCCCCACGGCAGGGGGGTCGGAGGGGGGCTCAGGCAAGTGTGGACAGGCTGATAAAGAGAGCAGGGCAGGGGGATCTCTCTGACCGTATGGGGCCAGCAGCTCTGTCTGGGGCGGGGCTGGATGGATAACACGATAGCATGAGAGGGGCCCCTACCCCAGGGCTGGGTCTGAAGTCTTCTATCCCGGCACAGGAGGAGTTAACTCAGAGGCTACAGCCCCCTCCCCTTTCATCTCCTTCCTTCTGGGCCTGACCGGGCCTGGCTAGGCCTGTGTTTACAGAAGCTACTGGTGAGGGAGGGGCAGGCAGAGGCCCAGGACAAAGCAGCAGGGGCCTGGCCCCTGCAATGGCCCCAGTGGACCCTGCAGTCCCCCGCTGGCCCCACCCCTTCCTGCCTCTGTAGCTCAAAGGCCATGTGCCCTCTTGGGGCCTCAGTTTCCTTCTCTGAACAGCAGGATGATAGTAACCATCCAGGGCTGCTGTCCAGGGTCAGAGGAATGAACCCCACCCTACAGTGGGTATTCCTGGGACAGCCCTGGTATCTCTGCTCTAAGCTAAGGGGGAGGCCCAGGCAGGAGACCTCTCAGGATCCCCTGGCTGCCCTTTGTTCTCTGAGCCTGGCTCATGCCAATAGCCCCTGGCGTCCTCCAGTGTTTGGGCCTCAGTTTCCCACCCCGACACTCACCCAGATCAGCCCCTGCTCCTCATGTCACTGTTCTCAAGGCCCACACACTTCCTGGTGGGGCTGTGGTTGGCATCTGCCTGGCTCCAAACCAGGGAGAAGCGAGGGCACAGCGCACTGCCGCGTCCTGCTGCCACTCAACAAACACAGCGCGGCACTTTGTGCACCTGGGGCACGGCCAGCAGCAGGCTGCCTGTGGCCCACCTTGCAGACAGGAGGACTACGGGGAGGGGCTTGGGCACCAGGGGGCACTCTAGGCCATGAGAGCCGGAAGCCTGCGTGGGGAGCATTCGCCCAGCTGCTCCAGCACCCACCTGTCTCCGTGAATCCAACCCCACTGTCCACAGATCATGCCCTGGGTCTCAGCAGCGAGGGGAAAGCTTGGACTGCCAGTTCTGGGTGGTGCCCTGAGACAACCTCCCCCACTCTGCACGGACTCACCCCTTTGACTCGCACAGCCGCGCCTCCCCTCTCAGAAACCCACGCCCACGCGGCACGGCCGTGCCTCCTTTCCGACACCCACCTCTTGGAGGCCTCCAGCCATAAGGAACACAAGGCCACTCTGACACACCTGTCCCAGGCTGTGGCTGATGGGATCCCCCTTTCTCATGCCCATTTCCTGTCACTTCCCAGAGGGCAGGCCTCACCTCGCTTTTGCATGAAGCTGAATAAGTCATCCAGGAACTCCTTCCTCTTGGGGTCCCCATCCAGTTCATAGAGCTGCGAAGGCAGGGAAGGGACCAGTTAATTGATGCCAGAGCTTGGACGTGGGCGCCATGTCCCCATCATGAGAGCCAACCAAGGGGGCTGCCGGCAGGAACAGGCACTGGGGGTCTCAGCCCCAGTGCCTCCCGAGTTCAAGCATCTTCTGAAGCCCCACTAAGCCGATGATGAGCCTGCCCCTCACCTTCAGGTGAGGACAGAGGCATTTGGACGTGTCCCCCGGGTGGCTTAAAACAACGAGGTTTATCCTCCTACAGCTCTGGGGCCAGGAGTCAGAGATCAAGGTGTGACAGGGCCAAGCTCCCTCCTGAGACTCCGAGGAGGGCCGTTCCACCGCCCTGGCTTCTGACAGCCCTGGGACTCCCTGGGCTTGGGGCCGCCGCATCACCCCAGTCTCTGCCCCTGTTGTCACGTGGCTCTCCTCTGTGTCTAAGTTCCTGTCTCCTTGTAGGACACCTGTCACTGGATTTGTGGCCACCTCAACTCATCTCAATGCTTCACTAGAAACATCTGCAAAGACCCAGTTTCCAAAAAGGGTCTCACTCATGGGGACCGGGAGTTGGGTTTCAGCACATCATTCTGGCGCACAGTGCACCCCAGACACACAGCACCCGTCCAGGCCGCAGCCATTATGATGCATCCCGACCCTGTCCAGTGAGCCGTGCACACACGGGCACAGACAGGCAGGCGGGAGACTGAAGTCCTGGACTGCTGGGGCCTCTCGGCCCGGACTCGGCCCTGGGCACTGGCTACTTGGGTTCACCAGTCATCAAAGGCAGGGCGGGCCTCTGTCTGGGGTTTGGGAGGCAGCAGGTCCACTGACCCCACTGACCATTACCTCTCAGGTGCTGGGGTCGGGGGAAGCCAGCCGAGATAATTAGAGAGTGAAGTTGGGGCTGTGCAATCTCACATTAGCTGAGGAGGAGTAGCACAAATAGAAAACAGCAGGCTTCAAATTAAGCTTCAGGGAATACAGCATCGTGCCGCCTGGACACGGAGGGATTCAGGACTGTGGGGGGCCTTGAAACCACCAGTTGGTCCCAGCTGGGCTGGAATAATCAATCACTGGGGCCCAAGAATGTCCCAACACCCAGCTCCTATAGCTGGGACATCCAGGGCCTAGGGAGATGGGATTGTCAGGGCCAACCACTCCTTAGCCATGTTGCTCCTCTCTGGGCCTCAGTTTCTCCACCTGCATAATGGAGCAAAGTGGGGCCTCTAGGCCAAGGGCTGGGAGAGACAGGAGCCCAGACCTGGGTGGTCGAGGCCTTTGTCTCCTCCGCCCCGCCCGGCCAGGCTGGCCAGCCACATTCCTGCGCTGATTTATGGCGTCCGGGGAGGCCCATGTTTTCCCTGCCTGACGGGTCAGAGCCCTGCAGCCGGCCCTTCCATGGGCGCACTCACGCGGGGCCTCATCTGTCCCCTCCCCACTCTCCTCCTCCCTGGCTGTGAAGTGTGGGTTCACGCACGCCTGCTTCCCTGTCTGTCTGCCCCTTGGACATCAGGGATTTTGTTAATTTTATCGCCAGTGTCTAAAAGGTAGCTGAGCACACACAGTTGAAGTCGATGGTAAGTGAACCCTGATTTCTCAGCTGCCAGCTGGGCCTGGCTAGGCAGAGAGTGAGGTGAGACAGACGTGGGAAATTGGCAGATGGCCCCCCCCAAGTCACCGCCACCTGAAACCTCGAAGGGGGGCCTTTGTAGATGTCATTAGATGAGGTCACACTGTGGTGCGGGCCCTGATCCAAAGACAGTGTCGTATTGGAAGAGGAGGGACACAGACACAGAGAAGCCACGTGGGGACAGAGGCAGAGACAAGGGTGATGCAGCCGCAAGTCCAGGGACACGGGAGCCCCCAGAAGTTGGAAGAAGCAAGAAGGACCCTCCTCAGAGCCTCCAGGAAGTATGGTCCCGTGACACCTTGATTTCCAACTTCTGGCTCCAGAGTGTGAGAGGCTGGAGTGCTGTTTTGAGCGTGCGGTCATTTGTCACGGCCTGGAAACCCATCCAGGGGTAGCATGTTCTCCTTTGCTATCCTCACCCAGGTAGAGGAGGGTCCACGCTGCCTAGACCCCTTCTCCAGGCCCACCCCCCACTAGACCTCAGTGCTCCTCCTGCCTCAGTTTCCCCTCTTTTGAGGACATTGTGCAATAAACACAACAGCATCATCCTTATCACCTGGAACCATAACAAGCCCCATATTCAAGGCGGGAAACTGGGGTTCGGGGTGGACACCAGCTGCTCCATGGCCCCTCAGCAGAGGTGGCTGGCTCAGTGGGGCTAGGGGGAGCTGTTAGCCCCCAGGCCAAATGGTGGGCAGAGCCTCACGGGGCTGGGGCGTAGCATGAGGCCATAAAGGGGCTATGTGGTGAAAGAGGCAGCTTTAATAGCTGTGTCATGGGCAGCTGACAACAAAGCCAGGCAGTAAAGGCTGCTCCAGCTTTATGGGGCTCTGGCCCCAAGTTCCGCACCCCTGTGGCGTGTGTCCCGCCCTGGCCAGCTGGCTGAAGCTGTCGGCCAGGCCCCAGGAATGGGGGAGCTGGGAACAGTGTCAAGACTCCTTGAGGTGGTGTCCGGACCCTCCCTGTGGGCCAGTGGGCTGGGCTGTCTATCCTCATAAAGCTCTGGAGTCACGCGGATGGGCCACACCCCACCTTCAGCCCGGCCTGGCTTTGCTGTTTGGAACCCGCCTCCTCTCCAGGTACACGAGGAGGCACTGAAATCAGCCACAGACATACCCAGGGCTGCAAACCCGGGGCTGGAAACTGGGCCAAACATGTAGAAACCCCTCCTTGGGGCTGCGGGCTAAGATAAGGGCCCCTCTCCCCTCCGGAGACCTGATTTCCCAGGGGCCAAGTGCCAGGCACTGAGAATGAGTCTCACTCGAGCTCCTGTCTGCTTACAAAGATACCCCTCCCTGCAGCCCACAAGGTCCCAGAGTCCCTGCCGAGCCCCACGCCCCTGACCACTGGGGGCTTCTCCAACCCATCAGACAGGCCCCCCTCCCAGCCTTGGCCCTGGCAGTTCCACTCCCAGGGAATGCCCCCCCAACACCCCAACACACACTTGAGCAAACAGAGAGGCTTTTCCAGGAAGTCTGAGTAGTACCCTCCCCTGGCTCACAGTCTCCCATGGCTCCCAGAACTCCCACCAAAAACCTCACTTCACCTCCCTTCACTGCAGCCCCTTAAGGCCTGTTGCTGCTTTCTGAGCAAAACAAGCACCCTCTCTCACCTCAGGGCCTGGCGCTGGCTGTTCCCCCTCCTCGGATGCGGTTCCCCAGACTTCAGCAGAGTCAGTCCCTCCTTCTTGTCCCCTAGCCCGTCCTCACCCTCTGCCCCTTCATCTGCTCTCATTTCCTTCTCAGCGCTTTTCGAGAAGCGCTGGCCCTCCGGTCCTGACGCTCCAGGCCCAGCCTGCGTGTGCGGGGGAGGGGGCAGAGGTGCTGGGGACCCACTGACGGACAACCCCTCCCAGGAGGGGACAGTGGGCAGCGAGGCAAGGAGGAAGAAAATAAAGCCAGGAAGTCTGGGGGCTCGGGTGGGGGCAGGGTAGAAGCAGGAGAAAAAGTGAGGTAACCACCCTCCCGATGGGCACGGTGGGCAAACAGGAAATTCTTGTTTGTGGCCAAACAGGGAGCATTTTCACCACAGCCAGGCAGGTTATACGGCTGACCAGGCTGACACGACATCCCCACCCCACCCCCACCCTGAAGCTGAGGGGTCCTTTGGAGCCAGAGAGCTCACCCTAGTGCGGGAATGCCTCCCCAGCCTGCTGTCCTGGAAGAGAGGGGGAAAGGCCACTAGCAAGTCCACAAAGTGACATGTAGGGGTGGGGGGAGGGGCACCAGGGCTCAGCACACAAGAGGTCTTCTCCCCAGGCACTGCTGGGCCCTTCAAGGAAGTCACGCTGCCAGAAGGCCCTGCCCGGGCTCCAAGGGCACCAGTTCCCCAGCCTGCCACAGGGGCCCAGGGGCAGTGTGGGCCCTCAGAGGCCCAGGCTATAAAGAGACAGCCCAAAGGGCCCCCGGGAGGACCTTTGCCCCCTAAACGGTGTCTGCTCAGGCCCCCTTCCGCCACCCAGGTGGCTCCAAAGTCCACAGGGCCCCACCTCTAGAGGAGGCCACTGGGCCGGGAGGGGGACCCGGGGAGTAAGGCTGCTCTCCTTGGAAGGTGGAAAACCAAGAAACTGCCTCTGGTGCCCAGCATTTGGGGACCGAGAAGACATGCAGAAGGACAAGTGTCTCTATAGCAATAAGGATATGGCAGAGATGCTGAGGATGGGAAGTTTTTTAAAAAAGGCACAATTCTGTACTGTCCAATACAGCTTACAGGAACCCAGGGAAGTGTGTCTTCCTCCACACCCAGAAGTGGGCTTGCAAACACTCGGCTGGGGCAGGAACAGACCTGACCCGGCACCGGCAGGGCCTCCTTGGGCACTCCTGGGCCACTGAGGGTCGGAGGGGAAGGACAGGCAGCATCACAGCCTGGGGAGCAGGGGGCCATGCCACAGCCTTGGCAGGCTTACAGAGGTTCTGTGAAGGGCGGGGGGCCGGTGAAGGAGTGAGGAAGCCTGCAAGCTGGGCTGGGTCTGGGCCAGGGGCTCTAGTGCTTACCCTCACCTGCTGTTCCCTGAATTTTTGAACAAAATATTTACGGAGGTGAAATTCCCATAACATAGAGTTCTCCATTTTAAGATAAACAACTCAGCGCCATTTAGTGCACTCGCTGGGTGTTGCAGCCACCTCCTCTGTCTAATTCCAGCACATCCCCTCGCCCCTCCCCCTCCACAGCCCCTGACAACCACTAACCCACTCCCTGTGTCTGCGGATTGGCCTGTCCCGGACATGTCACATGAGCGGAATCGCACCCCGTGTGGCCTTCTGGGTCTGGCTCCTCTCACTAAGTACCGTGTGTCCGAGGCCCGTCCTCGCCGTAGCGAGTGTCAGCACTGCGCTCCTTCCCCTGGCTCAGTCACGTTCCTGGGTGTGGGGGGCC